GATAACACTAATAGCAGGGGGTTGCGAATAGACTTGTAAGGAGATATTCACGGAGCACTGAGTACATATAAGACCTTGTGCTAGGCCTGATGGGTGACACCACATCACAGTGTCTGCCGTCGAAGAACACCCAGTGTAATCTGAGAGGTAGCCAGCTGTGTAAATAGTTAGAGTACCAGCAACATCCATACGTGTTGTGAGAGTAATACCTAGGAGGAGATCACGTGAGCTGTGATCATGAGGAACCGGAATGGTTGGTTTTACACGGAAAGTCGGGATTTCGGTTGCCTTCCAGATCTTTTGCACTGGTGTAGTCCCTCCCTTGAGGCTGTCAGAAAGGAACATCCACCATATATAATAGTGAGGGGCAATGAACAAGTTCAGAAGAACCAGAACCTTTCTTTTCTAAAGCATGCATTTAAAAACTATTTTCACTGGGTATAGAATTTTATCTTTACAGTTTTCCCCCCAGTTCTTTAAAGATCCTGATCCACTCACTAGTTTGCACTATGAATAAGGAGAAGTCTCCAGTGATTCTTTGTTCTTCTGTATGTGATGTCATTTTTTTCTTCTGGGTGCTTTTAAGGTTTTTATCTCTGGTTTTAAACATTTTGAATATGATGTGCTTTGGTGTAGTTTTCATTGTGCTCCTTAAGCTTGGGATTTGTGAGTTTCTTGGCTCTCTGCGTTTATACTTTTAATTAAATCTGGGAAACTTTGGGCTCGTATTTCTTTCCTTTTTTTTTTTTTTCCTCTTTCTGTTCCCACCCCGCCCCCCAATTTTCTAGAGACTCCTATTACATATATATTAGGTAACTTGAAGCTCTATAGCTCAGTGATGCTCTGTTCATTTTTCCTGTCTTTTTTCACTGTGTCTCACTTGGATAGTTTCTATAGGTATAGCTTCGAGTCTATTAAAATGTCCCTTTCTGCAGTGCCTCCTCTCCTGTTAATGCTGTCCCATGTAATTTTCATCCCAGGCTTTGTAATTCCCATCTCTAGAAGTCCAGTTTGAGTCTGTTTCATATCTTCTGTGCCTTTATTTAGCATGCCCGGTCTACTCTCTAATTTTTTAAACCTGTGGAGTATAATTACAGCTGTCTTCATGTCCTTGTCTATTAGTTCTATTATCTGTGTTATTTCTGGGTCAGTTTGATTGATTTTTCTTCTCATTATGGTTCCTGTTTTCTTCTTTGCATGCCTGGTTTTTTTGATTGAACGTTGGACATTGTGAATTTTATCTTCTCGAGTGCTATATATTTTTATATTCCTATAAGTATCTTGAACTTTGGTCTGGGGCATAGTTAGGTTCCTTGGCAGTGAATTGGTCCTTTCTGTTCTTGTTTGGGTTCTTCTTTTTCTCTTCCTTTCTCTTTCTTTCTTTCTTCTTTTCTTTCTTTCTTTCTAAGCTTTTTAAGGCAAGTCCAGAATAGCATTTAGATGAGGGTTAATTTTTCTTTCCATATGACCTTTTCTTTCCACCTGAGGTTTGGTCTGTTGTTAGATCTGATTTCATTTTTCTCTTTTACTTTCAGTAGTATAAGAATGTTAAAGACTGGAGTATAAAAAGTTAGTTGCATTTGTCATAGACAGATGGATTTTTTCAGCCATTATTTGCTGAAATGGTGGTAACCATGCTAGAAGGAGGATTACACACAGATTGATAATGCTGATATCAGGGGGTGCAAATAGACTTGCACGGAGATATTCGCAGAGCCCTGACTACATATGAGACCTTGTGCTAGGCCTGATGGGTGACACCACATCACAGTGCCTGCTGTCAAAGAACACCCAGTGTAATCTGAGTTATTGGGAAGGGAAGGGAGGAAGAGTTAAAGGTAGCGGAAGACCCCACCCCAATTGTAGTTAATAAATCTGGCCTACATTTCCAGAGGCACTCTTTGGATGATAATGAGGGCAGCTATCCTTTGAGTTGTTCAGGTGAAGCTGGGTGTCGCTAGTGATATCTAATGACCCTCCTCCTTCTGTGACTGGGTGACAGGAAAATGTGAGTAATGCCAGTGTGCGCTGACTGGGTGCGGTGTATAGAGCTTTGTCTGAACAGTGAAAGTTGCAGATCCTGATTGGCTCAAGACTAACTACATTGTGGCCTGATCAAGATTGCCAGGACTCCTGTGATGGAATTTGTCTTTTATCCTAGTCAGTTGTGATGACCAGAGCCTTCCTTGGAAAGATAGTCTGTGTTTAAACGACTGTGAGCCCATGTAGTCTCTCTGGTGCCTGTGGTAGCTCTGGGTATTCCTACTCCTCAAGGAGCTCATTGATGTAATTTCAGACACTGTATCCTCACTCAAGAGAACAGGCCGTCTTGCTCTGCGTGGAGTATCTTACAAGACCCGTTGCTGTGTCCGTTTTTAAGCTGCTGGTTCCAGATGTCTCTAGCAGCCCTACTTTTTCTCAGATGCTTAGCCAGTTTACATGTATGAATGGCCTTTCTGTCCTGCAGAGGCTGTGAGAAGCTCTGCCTGAATGTTTGAGAGTTAACCGGCATTTAGCAAGCAAGCCTTCCATGAGGCACTGATGGTACTGTTTTCAGAGATCGTGCAAGAGCTTCTGCTGATCTCAAAGGTACTCACTGTCCAGGGGGCAAATAGCGTACGTGAATTCAGAAACCTGTTCAGGAGGACCATGAACAAAAATGAGAAGATGAGCAGAACAGTTAGTGTTTTGAGTTGTATTTCTTCAGACTTCTCTGTTGGGGTAGTGGTTTGAGTGACCAAGTGGCTGGCATCCCACCATTTATAGACATGTTCTATTTTGAGACTGAGTTTGTGGTTTGGGAAGGATGTATAATCATTTTCAACAGACGCTTATTGAGGGCGTTAAGTGTCATGTCAGGCCCAGGGAATACCAAGAAGTGTAGTTACAGCCTCTGCTTCTAAGGAACCGTTCATCCTCGGAAAGTCAGGGCGCGCTTAACGTTAAAGAACTTAGTAAGATATAAGAAGTCTTTGTAAGTGAAAAGCATAATTGTCAACATTTAGCAGAAGTATATACTAAACTGTTAACTGCTCAGGGGAGTGGGGCTTGAAGTACTGGGGCACAAGGTGGGGAAGAGGAAAGCTCTTCACTTTTTATTATGCATTTGACCTGTGGACAACATGAGTTTGAAGGGCATGGATCCACTTACATGTGGTTTGTTGGTGTTTGATAAATACAGTGCAGTTCTGTAAATTATTCTCTCTTCTTTATGATTTTCTTTATAACATTTTATTTTCTCTAGCTTTCTTGCAAGAATACAGCATATAGTAGATATAACGTAAAAAAATATGTGTTAATCTTCTATTGGAGATATTGGTAAGGTTTCCAGTCAGCAGTAGCCTATTAGTAAAGTGTTGAGGGACTCAAAAATTATATATGGCTCTTGACCATGCTGGGGGTCGGCACCCCCTTCTCCCACATTGCTCAAGGATCGACCATATACGTTTGTGCGTGGTTGGAAATTTTTTACCAAGTGCCAGTGTATTGCCTTTTTGGAATTCTTTATCAGTTAAAGAAATGATGGGAGGGTGGGTGGGGTACCTGGGTGGTGGGCAGTAAGGAGGGCATGTGATATGATGAGCACTGGGTGTTATAAGCAACTAATGAATCATTGAGCACTACACCAAAATCTAATGATGTACTGTATGTTAGATAATTGAATTTAAATTAAAAAAATAAAAATAATAAAATAAAATAAAAATTTTAATTTAATTTAATTTTAAAAGTGATACACTAGAAAATTATACCCATAATGTTAGCCTTGAATATCTGTGTGATAGGATTATAAATAATTTATATTTTCTTTATTATACCTCCCTATTATTGCCCACATTTTCTATAATGGATATGTATTATTTTATAAATAGAGAAAGTATTTGAAAACCAAAACCCTAAAGGATCCATGATGATTATTATAACTACATTCCAACATGCTTCTGGTATCTTGATTATAATATACCAGCTTTCCTTTTCTTTTTGCTAACTTTTTTTTTTAAGATTTTATTTATTTATTTGACAGAGAGAGAGTAGGCAGAGAGGCAGGCAGAGAGAGAAGGAAGCAGGCTCCCCGCTGAGCAGAGAGCCCGAAGCGGGGCTCGATCCCAGGACCCTGGGATCATGACCTGAGCTGAAGGCAGAGGCTTTAACCCACTGAGCCACCCAGGAGCCCCTCTTTTTCCTAACTCTTACCACAACTGCCAAGACTTCTTCTATCTTAATTCATCATCATCACTACTATTTATTTATTTACTCATTTTTAAAGATTTATTTTATTTATTATTTTAGAGAGAGAGCAGGAGGAGGGGCAGAGGGAGAGAGAGAGAATCTCAAGCGGACTCCACACTGAGCACAGAACCTGACACAAGGGGTCGATCTCACAGTCCTGAGTTCATGACTTGAGCCGAACTCAAGAGTCACACACTTAATGGACTGAGCCCACTCAGGTGTCCCCATCTTCACTATTTAAAGGTGAAACAGGACATTGGCTCTTGCTTCTGTCCCTTGTCATTTTGAGTGAGTGAGTTAGTCTTGGAGCAAAAGGAATCCATCTATTAACTACTCAACTATACTGTGAAGGCTGCCTAGAAGAATTCAAATTATGCCGATTGGGTTACAATTATATCTGTCAATGTGGGCTGTGATCTCTTGGTTTAAAGCATCCTAAGAATACTTTTCTATATCTTTATATTTAGTCCCGTTGGAGAAAGCAATTCGATTATTCCATCTCCCCATCTGGTGCAGTAAGAAAACTCATCTGCTTGGCTTACTTTATATGAGAGAGAATTAAAATGTCCAAGTTAAAAAAAAATGTCCAAGTTATTTGTAATTTGGGTTAAGTAGTTCAATCCCAGCTTTCCTACATTTTTCTGGGAATTCATACTCCCTTATGATTATCAACTTAATTACTTTGGAAATAATAGTGTTCTGAATTATTTAAGGAAGCCAGGGATCGAAAGACAGATGTCATTTCTAAATGAATTTTTTTTTTTCCCTTATAGCATGTGTTTGATGATCTCAGTGTCTCAGTATCCTTGTCCTGGGTTGGCGATGGCACTGGGGTAAGTAGTATTTTGAATCTGTTAACTCAGTGTAGCAAGAAGAAGACGGGGATTTTAGGGGTTTAAACACTGAATGTTGTTACTTTTTGAAATGGTCTCCAACCTCCGTTGCAGGCATGTTTGCAGTACAGATTTTCAGGAAGCTGTGATGGGTTTGGTTTTGCTTTAGAACTGGGAACATCTAGTGACTGCCTTCCACAGTAGGAAGACAGACACCTTTTTAGTTTTTGATGGCTGCTTGGCATCAAGATGAGCAAGAAGAAGAAAGAGGAAGGAGAGTGCCATGTGCTCGGACGGCAGCCTCATAATACTTGGGAAAACCCCTGTGTAGCAGCAGAAAACTGCATGTTGCACATCTTGGCATTTTTCCTCCAAACTGTATTGTTCTGTGTCCTTTCCCACAGTTAGTGTTGAAGGACTGTGGCGCCCATGGGCTCGCGGTTGTTCATCTCCTTCTGTTGCCTCTTCCCCTACCACGGAGGAGCCCTGCCAGGACTGGCGTCATGGAAGCAGAGTCCTGCAGCTCCTCATCCCTCTGTATCCCCATATAGACAGTCCCCCAGCAGGAAGCTGTGCTGAGGGTGGCTGTAGGTCTTGAGTCAGGGTGTGGCATTGCCCGGCTCTGTGTCCTTCTGTCTGAACAAGGGCAGGGGCCACAGCTCATACCCTCTGGTATTCTGGTAATATGTATATCATAGCACTGAGGCCCGTGACAGTGGCATCAGGAATCAAAAGAAATAGAATTTTGATGTTGAAAAGCAAGTTATACATTTCTTATTTTAATTAATTTAATTAATTTTTAACCATGTCTCGGTTTCTTCTAAAATTTGAGTAGTGCACCAATTTCTGTGATTTAACCACTTATCTAAGATGGCTGGTATCTCTAAGGTTTCTTGTTATGTGGCTATTTGAGACTCCATAGCCTCTTGTACTAATCTACTATCAGAGTCTTTTCCTCATGAATATTTCTTTCTAGAAAAATACTTATTTGAAAAATTAATTTCACAGAGAACTAACAGCAAGGAGATTAAGAAATGGACAAATATATATATGATATAGTGACCTCTCTAAGAACACCCTTACTATTCTAGCCTCTGTGAGCAGAAAGAGAGATGATCTTTGCCTGAGAATATCTTCCAATAATAGAGATTCTCTGCCTCACTACTTGAAGTGTATGTGATGGGACCATTTGAACAAAATGAGTTGAGATCTTGAGTCATTGTGAGCCCTAGGAACGTGGTCCTTCTGGGTTTTCTGATATTACAGTATAGGCTACCGTAGGGCAGGACTCCTGGCAATCTATTACTTGTTGATTTAACCCCATCACAAGCAAGCATGTAATTGGATGATCTTTCTTATTGACTGCATGCTTTTGTCTCTTCCCAGATCATTCTGGTCTTGACTACCTTCCATGTACCACTGGTAATTATGACTTTTGGACAGTCCAAGCTATATCGAAGGTGAGATGCATAACGTGTGGCTGGGGCATTGGCTGAGTAACACATTGTGAATGTAAGTTCCTTACGATATAGACACGATGGAGTTTAAAAGTTGATTTAAAGGATTGTCTAGCTATCTTAAGTTTTCATCAGACTGTCACACTCCACATACTGCATATCTGCTTAGCAACCTGACCAAGTATGAAAAGGGATCTAGTTCCAAGGAGTTTAGGCAGGCTCACCTCACTGAGTGGCAAAACAATAAAGGAAGACAAAGGAAGAGTTCATAGCAGCCTGTATCTCTTCATTTAAATGGGTATTTATTTGTGAGAAGGTAGCATAGAGTTTAACCATCTTTCCATTTATTATGAGTTTTTTAATATCTCTGAAATAGCACAAAGTGGTTTTTATATCCTTGGAAGAGTCCTTACTATACCTTTCAGGTGAATGTGATTTATCTTACAATAAAATGGATATGTATTTTGAGCCCTAAACAGATTGTTTCCAGATCAGGAGGGAGTTCTGACCTAACCCACGTGTGTCACAGTATTCATAATACTTGGAAAACATTGGTAATGATGGGGGCAGTATGTGTTCAGGAACCATAATCTATACTGTGACGTTCACAAAGTTTTAGAGTTGTCTTCTCAAAGGTACAGCTTGGTTAAATAGTGGGTTCTTTCCCTTAATTATAAGATTCAACACCAACGTACTCTCAGCAATTGCTGATTGTCTTCTCTGTCATTTGTGTCTATCCCATTCTCCCCCCAAGGGACTTTAAAGAAAGATGACATCCCAGCAGATGATATAGAAACGCCTCCCAGGGCCAAGGGATCTCCCAAGGGCCATTGTACTCTCTCAGGGTTCCTTCTTTGACTATTGGTCTTGGTCCAGGAGGGGGTGAACCCATGTTGAAGCTCTGAGATGAAGGATCAGCCCAACTTTCCTTCCCTGGTAGGCGTGATCACTGGCTGCTGCTGCTGAGCCTGGAGCCAGTGCTCTCTACCCTTCAGCACAGTGATGTTGGCTTAAAAATTGACCAATAAGGAATTGCGATCTTGAAATCCATGAAAGCAGGGTTCTTGACTAACTTGGGGTTCTCCGCCAACTAGCCAAACAACTGACTCATAGCAGGCAAGCAGTACATACTAATTGAGTGAATGAATACCTTTGCCTCTGTATAATTTTCAGGCTTATAGTATTTTTTATTTGTTTGATAAAGATTTATAATGCATTGTAGAATCCCAGTGCTGGAAAGGGCTATGATTTATAGGTGATTTTGTTTATTCAGATAGAACAGTAGTTGAAGCATTTCGGACAGATGAAAGGTATCCTGTTTGGGGAGGGAAAAAATATTTTTTAGGTTGTACCTTCAGTAACTCTTCCCAGTGTTTAAAAAACCTGGCTCTCATAAAATCTTTTCTTATAGAAAACAACCATGTTATAAAACATTTGGAAATTTTAAAAGAAAGAAAAAATTCACCCTAAAAAGTAAAGTGTGACCTTAATATTTTTACACTTTATTATCTTGATTTTTCCCTTTCATATTATTCATATGACTACATACATAGTCTTAGGAAGCAGCATGGTCTAGGGTAAAATTGCCAGACTGTGTTGGCAAACAGGCCTGGGACTGAATCTCAGCACTGTCATTTGTAAGCAGAATGAACTCGAACAAGTCCTAAGTTTTTTGTCATCTGTAAAAGAAAGGTGGTAATAATGGCCACCGCAGAGCCTCTGCATGGTGTGCTTTGCAGTGGCTGGCGTGGAATAAGAACGGAGTGGGGTTAGCCGCTGTCATGCCAACAGCCGGGGATAGCTTGTAGCCAGCCTGTGCTGGCACTGTCCTACCAGTTATTAAAATGAATCTGAGAGCCTTTGGTGCCAGCTGGTAAAGAGTGATTGCCTGCCCCCAGATGCTTCCGTGGCTTCTACAACGCTCACACCCTTGCCCCTGCTAGTATGCAAGTATTACTAACCCCTGATGTTAACCTATGTCCATTTCACTTGGTGAGTGCTCATACCGTGGCATTTTTCATATCCCCTCTGCTAATAATTCACCATTTTTGTTAGATCGACAGAACTTTTTTAATCACTATCATTGTGGACACAGATTGTAGCTGATGTTTTCAGTATTACTAATGCTGCTGTGGTAAATACCACATATTTACATCAAAGAAGTTGCTGATTTCCAATTCATTTTTAGTAGCAAATGAAAACTTCCTCTCCAGTGGATCCCTACCTGTCGTGAAGGCTGTTTACTAAACTCTTCCCTCACCAAGTTGAACTATCTTCTATACCTCTTGCGTTGGCCACTTTCTTGCTTGCCTTCTGAATTCACTTTTTTTTTTTTCTCTACACTGCTCTTGAAGTGTGTAGCTAGAACTGGACCTGATAGGTTCCTGAGTCATACCTAGGGGGCATGAAATGTGTTTTCATGACTCTTTTTCCCATCCTTTTACTTTTCAATTCTGTGCTTACTTTAAAGACAGCCAAAAAAAAAAAGAAAAAGAAAAAAGAAAAAGAAAAAAACAAAAGCAGTATCACTAAGTGTTACTGTTAAAATACCAACCAGCATCTGACTCAGCCCTTCCCATCCGATATTTGCCTAGTCTTGTGAGAAACCCCTAACACACACTTGACTAGAGAGCGACCCTGTTTGTTTCTCCAGTAGTCTCCTGTGACTGAGCTTCTGCTGCTTCCTGTCACACAGCAGGGTTCTTGTTTGGGTGTTTTTTTGTTTTTGCCAAGGTCATTTTGAATATTAATTCTTTCCTCCCTGCTGTGAAGTGAGACATTTTCCAGAGTTTAGGTGGAAACTGTAAATAGGCTTCGTTGCTTCTCCCACTGGCCTGGCCTCTAGGAAGGGACTCCTGTTGTCCTGTTGTCCCGTTTTTGGGCAGGCCAGCCGAGGGGCACGTGTTGCTCAGAGGGGAGGGGGCAGGTTGATTAAGAGGAGTCCTAAACAGGCCACGGTTGCCCAGCGGAAAAAACAAAAGCCTGTTGAATTTGTTCCGAAGTCTCTTCTGTTTTTCACATCTCTCGTGATCATGTTATTTACCAGATTATCTTTCTGTACTAAATCTTATGTGGTCAGATGTTCATTTGGGAATCAAATAGATAACACTTGGTCACGTGCCAGCTGCTCTGAGTCTTACTGCCCAGAGGCTCACAGGATAGAAGGAAGTTGTGCCTGTCACCTATGCTGTGTTAGAGGGAAATATATACTTTGATCTTTAGGTACTAAATCTTATGTGGTCAGATGTTCATTTGGGAATCAAATAGACAGCACTTGGTCACGTGCCAGCTGCTCTGAGTCTTATTGCCCAGAGGCTCACAGGATAGAAGGAAGTTGTGCCTGTCACCTATGCTGTGTTAGAGGGAAATATATACTTTGATCTTTAGGTTATAAAAAAGAATTGTGGGAAGATGGGGGAAATAATAAATAACCTCCCTAGGCATTGCTGATTAGGTAAAATTGATTAATATAGTAATATCTTCAATTTAAAGGAGTTATATTTGAATAGCTTAAATTTTGATCCTCTGTTACAGAATAATTTACACAATAGATTGTAAAGTACACGTGCCTCTTTCAAATGTGAAGTTAAAAAGGAAATAAACTACACCTGTGATTAAGATGATAATTTGGTGGGCGCCTGGGTGGCTCAGTGGGTTAAGCCTCTGCCTTCGGCTCAGGTCATGATCTCAGGGTCCTGGGATCGAGCCCCGCATCGGGCTCTCTGCTCGGCAGGGAGCCTGCTTCATCCTCTCTCTCTCTCTCTCTCTCTCTCTCTGCCTGCCTCTCTGCCTACTGTGATCTCTCTCTCTGTCAAATAAATAAAATCTTAAAAAAAAAAAAAAAGATGATAATTTGGTGTTTGGCAGCTGAAAGATGTTTTGCATGCTTTTGTTTGTGGGCCTCTTGAGTCTAACTTTTCACTGTAAGATCAACTTAATGAAACACATGTTAGCATTACTCTACACCAAAATTCTGTACACACTCACCACAAAACTGCTGCTGTTTTAGGGCACCTGGGTGGCACAGTCGGTTAAGTGTCCAACTCTTGATTTTGGCACAGGTCCTGATCTCAGGGTTGTGAGATGCAGCCCCGCCTCGGGCTCCAGCCCCATCTTAGGCTCCGCCATCTGCTTGAGATTTTCTCTCTCTCCTGCTGCCCCTCCCCCCAATAAATAAATAGATCTTAAAAAAATAAAACTGCTGCTATTTTATTTGTGATTTTATTTACTATTGAGAGTTGTTCAACCTTTGGAAATGAGTAAGGGCATCTTGAGATAATTAAATTTCACATTAAATTTTATTCCATAGTCAATGTAAATTTTTAAGGCTCTTACCTGAGGTAAAAAAAAAAAAAGAAAAAGGTTAATGCGAAGATATCAACAGATATTAAAGCAAAGTGCACTAAACTGGCTTCTCCAGGACATCTTGTATGACAGCCTTTTTAATGATATGCTTGGTCCAGTTTTCACTGCAATAGATTATTAATAATGAGTGCATATTTAGTTAAAATTTTAACTCACATTTCATTACAAAATATATTTTATTGCTTTTTTTTCTTAAAGAAAAAGTTTATTAAAATGGATGATGACTTTTTACTACAGGTTCACTTTTATGAACTTAGAGCATATAAAAATCATGAAACTAGGTGGTTTTCATCATTTAGGAACTATTCCCATGAAAATACATGTTAGAATTGCCTTGTCAACCAAAGCCAAATAGGGACACCGGATACATACTCATGTTCCTTCTGATTACTCACAATATCTTACCTCCTTTATTTTCCCACTTATATTTTTCAAAATTTCTACAGAAAACATGCATCCTTTTTTTCAGTAAGCATAAAGCAATAAAATATTAAAAAGACAAGGTAGCATTAGACAGTTGGGGGTAAAAAAAAAAAAGAGAGAGAAAGACTGAAGTATTGGGAGTTCAGCTTAATGTGAATTCAAATTCTGCCTATTTTACTGGCCAGTCTGTGATTTCAGGTCTGCTGTTTTGTTGCCACATTTTAATAAGCTACATTCTCCCTGTTGATCTTTTAACTGGAAGTCTCAAGACCGCTGGTTGTCATTGTTCTGCAGAGTTCCCATGTATCCTGAATTGGGAGGTACGAAACCATTGCTCCCAGAGGAGAGAAAGATTTCAGCTCCCACAAACCTCTGCTCACACCATTCATTTTTTTTTTTTAAGATTTTTTTATTTATTTGACAGACAGAGATCACAAGTAGGCAGAGAGAGGGGAAGCAGGCTCCCTGTTGAGCAGAGAGCCCGATGCAGGGCTTGATCCCAGGACCCTGAGATTGCGACCTGAGCCGAAGGCAGCGGCTTAACCTACTGAGCCAACCCAGGTGCCCCATCACACCATTCATATTTGTTCATTGATCAGTACATGATCTTGTTTTATGTACATTTCTGTTGAAAGAAGACACCTTATTTAATGTGTATTGTTGATTCATTAACGTTGAGCTCGTTTCCAACTCATGCCGAGAAGATGCTTTTCTAACTCACGTATTTTCTCCATAAGACACATCAAAGCCTTCTCATGCTGAGGAACACTAGCCCTCAAACACTGTGCTTGGGTGCTGTTAGAAACAGCAGAATCACCAAGAAAAAACACAAAAGTGCAAAATGCATGGCACTAAATAGACTGTGAAGAAGACATTTGTTGACAGTGTAAGAGCTGACACGAGAAGGCAGAGCGTCCCCTTCTCGGACCCCAGCTGGGAATGTGCATGCTGGGTTACTCACTCTGTGTTCCTCACTCTGCGCATGCCTGCTAATGACTACAAAAGTGCCAGGAGCGAGGGTTACAAATACATTTGAGTGTGCAGTCAAATTTGTAAATAGAAACCTAGGAACAGTAAGGATCTACTGTGTAAGCTTCCTGATGAGTGAAAACTAGAAAACAGTAAGTTGTTTGTTTTAAGTTTGTTGTCATCCTTGTTGCTTTTATGTTGCAATTTATAGCGACTTAATCATGGCAAAAATAAACTAAAGAAACAGAGGAATGTTTGGGTCTAAAAGCCAACAAAACAGGGATATCTATGCTTGTATGTGTGTATTTGTTTGCTTGTTTGTGTGTTTTAAGAGAGAGAGTGCATGTGCATGCGCGCGCTCGCGCACACACGTGTTGTGTGCACGTGAGGTAGGGGGGTGGGGGAGGGAGGAGAATCTTAGGCAGGCTTCATGCTCAGGGTGGATCATGACCTGAGCTGAATTAAGAGTCATATGCTTAAGCGAGTGAGCCACCCAGGCACCCCAAATGCTTGTTTGATTGTCGAGAAAAATAAAATGTAAGATTATCTGAGATACTGTAGAACTCTCATACTATTATTTTCGTTAAACGTCTGTGGTTCAGATACCTGGTGTTACAAGTTCCAATAGATTATAAATGAAAAGTCCTCAAAAACAAGGATGTAATTTTTGAGTATTGACATTTGGGTTGAGTGTCAATATGAGTCTTATGGAAAAAAAAACCTTTGAGTGCTTCCTTCTACTAGGAATTTTGATGTTCTGTCTTACTTGGAGTCCTATACTATGATTACTTCTTTTCTTTTTTCATTTATTTTAATAATGTCTAGATCTTTCTTGTTTTTTGAAGGTATTGGGTTCTATTCTGAAAATATTTGTATTTTAACACTTTTCTTCAGCTGCAAGTATGTACATGTTCTTATGCGTGTTTATAGCACAGATATATGCATAAGTGATCATTTATTTTTGGCAACCAGAAATTGGTTATTTTCTATTCAAAAGACTTGCTTCTAAAGCAGATGGTTTCACAGGATTTACTTATCGTTTGACTGCTGTTTATGACACTATTAATTATCCTATGGATTTTGGAAAGTAGATTTATTTTTCAAGATATTGCTTTGGTTTCCTCTTCATGATGTATGTTGTGTGCTGATAGAAAATAAAGCTACTCTATTATTTTTTTAAGATTTTATTTATTTATTTTAGCAAGAGAGCATCCAAGCAGGGGCAGGAGCAAAGGGAGAGGGATAGGGAGGGGGAAGGAATCTCAAGCAGGTGCAGAGCCTGGAGCCTGATGCAGGGTTCAATCCAAGACCCCGAGATCATGACCTGAGCTGAAACCAGGAGCTGGACTCAACCAGCTGAGCCACCCAGGTGCCCCCAAATAAAGCTACTTTATTTTTTTTTATTTTTAAATCATTTTCTAAAGATTTTATTTACTTATTTGACAGAGAGAGAGCGCACAAGTAGGCAGAGAGGCAGGCAAAGTGAGAAGGAGAAGCAGGCTCTCTGCTGAGCAGGGAGCCCAATGTGGGGCTCGATCCCGGGACCCTGGGATCATGAGCCAAGCGGAAGGCTGCTGCTTAACCAACTGAGCCACCCAGGCATCCTGGTAAAGCTACTTTAAAATAAAGTGTTATATTAAAATATTTTCCTTGACCTTGCATGGCCTCAACAGAATCCTGCATAAATCCTAGCCCATCGATACTAGTCCATTGTGCTCCAGTCATTTTTTTCAGTGGCTAAAGTAGTGTAGTCGCAGATGATTTTTTGTTTTGCTCATGTTGCTTTCTTTTTCTGAAGGGCAGGGTTGTGTTTGTTGTGCCAAGTTCTTAAAAAGCAAGCAGGCCTGCCAACAGGTTTGTGGAGGTTCCCTGGGGATGTCCTAAAGGAGGGGAGATTTGTAAGCTGGTGATAAGCAAGCCACTACAAACCCCTTTAGACTGTTGTCTGAGCGACTAAGAATCTGTACCTTGTAGAGCGTTTGTCTGAGCAACTAAGGATCTGTATCTTGTAGAGTGAGGAATTGTTTATGCATAATCCCTTTGACCTGCTATCTGGAAGATAAGAACACTTTTTGTACTCCAAAGCCAAGGATAGGGTAGTAAAGAATCAGTTGGGTGGTGCCTAATCCCTGTTTTGCGCAGGAAGAGTCTTTCAGACAACTTGAAGTTAGGTGTGGTTTGCTTTAGCATGCAGTCAGGGACCTCTGCGAACACTCGGGAGACGCTGCCTTCCTGTCTGGCTCAACTTCCTCTTAGCTCGTCTTTACTATGGGGACACCAGCCCTGGCAAGATTGTGGAAGTCTACAGGTTGTAAGAGAATTTTATTTACAAATAAAATAATTCAAAGTTGCCTCTAGTATGGGGCTGAGAGTTAAGAGAATTGCACTGTAGTTTCAATTTTGCCCTTAATTAACTAGTTGCCTTCTGACAAATTGCCTCCTCGGGAACCTCCTCAGCTGTGAGGTGAGGGAGTTGGACAAGATGTTCTCCTCAGCCCCTTGCATCTCTCTCATTTTGTGTTCCATGGTTCTGTGATTCTTTATTTGGGGAGGCTTCTACCCGAACTGTACCATTTGTGAAGTCATATACCCTATCAGCGAACACTGCATTCATCAGTGAACACTGCATTTATCAGCGGGCAACTAACTGGCCGCACACAGCCATCTTCACCGACGAACGTCTAGATTTCTCAACTGCTGAGATGCCGCGTTCTCTATCATGTTTTAGCAGACTGCGCACAGTATGAAACCCAGCAGACGTAGATAGATACTGACTTTTTTGCTTTTAGTTTTCAAAATCGAAACACAAAGCTGAATACCTCTCAAAAATATTGTTGGAATGAACTTTTGGGAAAAGCTTTAACAACCCAAGAGATGAGATTAACTTTGTTTTCCCTAGCTGTTTTGTGCGAGGCACACTGTGGACACGGGTGCCTGGTACGGCAGCCTCTGGGAGTGGGGGGACCTCGGGACTCCTGCTCCTTCGTTTGCAGCTTTATCGTTAGGGCTGTGCGTGACTAGATTAGTTTGGAGGCCTTTGGCTACATTTAGCAGACATGCCAACCCATACTAGCTTAAATAATAAGGGAATTAATGGCTCATAACTAAATACAGAAGAAGGATGGGCTTCAATGTTAGTTCAATCCAGTGTCCTGGGCTCTGCTTCTCTGGAATTCCAGAATTCCCTCAGCAGTTCACTTTTGTTGGCTTATTTTTCAAGTTGTGCTCTCATTGTGCCAAAATGTCTGTAGCAGTTTTTGCTTTGTATTCACATATTATGGGGTTGGCGTTTCCCAACCTTTGGGTCACTGACATTTGGGGTCAGCTAATTTTTTCTTGTCGTGAAACTGTCCTGCGCATTGTAGGATGTGTGGCAGCACCCCTGGCCTTCACCCACCAGATGCCAGTAGCATCTCACTGCTGGGTTGTGATCATAAACGTCTCCTGACAAGCCAAATGTTTGCGGTTGTGGTGGGGGCTGGTGGGCAAGAATGCACTGACTGAGAACCGCTCAGCAAAGGAAGACATCATTTTGTCAGGTGGCTGTCTTAAGGATAAAGAAACGTGTTTCCTCAAAGACCCCAAATTTCCCACTTTTGTCTTACTGGCTCAACCTGGGTCACTCCCATTTCTGACCCCTCACTGGTGAGAGGGAAGACTGTCCTTCAGACTAATCAGGCCCACCACTGGAGCTAGAGATGGGATCCATCCCCTGAGGCAGGTGACTGTTCAGGGGAGGGTGGTGAGTGCCTCAGCCAAGGCAGTGGGCAGGGATCATGCATGGAAGCCAGGCAGGACTTCCGGAAGTGTCCTTGACTGCTGAATTCTAAATGTGTCTTGCTTTTCTTCCTCTCAGTGAGGACTATGGAAAGAACTTTAAGGATATTACAAATCTCATCAATAACACCTTCATTCGGACTGAGTTTGGCATGGCTATTGGTCCTGAGAATTCTGGAAAGGTGAGACTCATTCACACACATATGAAGCTGCGCTTGATGCCACACATAGGATTGTCAGATAATAATGTTGGAATGGTCCAGTTGTATATAGCAATATATTTAGTTTGCTGTTAGTGCATTTTATTTTTTTTTTAAGATTTTATTTATTTATCTGACAGTGAGAGATATAACAAAAGAGGGAACACAAATCGGAAAAGTGGAAGAGGGAGAAGCAGGCCTCCTGCCAAGCAGGGAGCCCAATGAGGGGCTTGATCCCAGGACTCTGGGATCATGACCTGTGCCAAAGGCAGACACCTACTGACTGAGCCACCCAGGCACCCCATTAATGCATTTTAAAATTAAACATAATTCAGTGCTGTTCATCAAAGAATGGAATTCAGCACACAGGTTCTTTTTTTTTGGGTGGTCCCTATCCAGGATCTAGCCAAACTCTTTAAAATTATGTAGCAGGGGCACCTGGGTGGCTCAGTGGTTAAGCCTCTGCCTTTGGCTCAGGTCATGATCTCAAGGTCCTGGGATCGAGCCCCGAAGCTGGCTCTCTGCTCAGCAGGGAGCCTGCTTCCCCCTGTCTCTCTCTGCCCGCCTCTGACTACTTGTGATCTCTGTAAAATAAATTAAAAAAAAAAAATCTTTAGAATTATGTAGCAGCGGTTTGGCATCACAATGTCTAATTCACAAAACAACATTTTAGCTTTGGGCAACTAGCTAATCTCAAACTGAGCAAGCTAAATTCACAGTTATGATGCACTATTTCAATTTAGGATAATATTTGTTATAAGACTAATATTTGAGTGTAGTATACCAATAATCTGTTTTTATAACTCTTTGTATTTATGGAAATTTCTTAACGGATATCTGGTGAAAATGGTGTAAGAACTTCTGTGCTTTAATAGTATTATACTCTGAATCTGAACTTTTTTCTTCCTCATCAGGTGATTTTAACAGCAGAGGTGTCTGGAGGAAGTCACGGAGGAAGAATCTTCAGATCGTCAGATTTTGCAAAGAACTTTGTTCAGACCAATCTCCCTTTCCATCCTCTGACTCAGATGATGTATAGCCCTCAGAATTCTGATTATCTTTTAGCTCTCAGCACTGAGGTGAGTATAGTTGAGGAACTTGTGTTGCTTTTTTGCATTTTTATAAACTGAAAATATACTGTTTTAAAAGAACCCTATAGGAAATGCCTTTATATTGGACTGCTTTCTAGTGATTTTTTAAGGCATGAATTTGTATTTTTTGCATTATTTTCCAGTTTGGTAAAGGGCATGATTTTCGTGTACTATCTATTCCAGACAAGTATGATATCTAGCTGTCATTACACATTTTTTTAAGTGAGTAGATGCAGTGTGCTATCAGAGTAATGAACTAGAAAACAGTTTAATGTAATTATTCTTGTGCTTCAAGGGACAAGCATAAACTGTCAAACTCCTGATGGTGTTATTCCTTTCCTATGGCCAAACCACATCTTCATAATTTTTTTTTGTTACTTCCCAGTATATAAATCATATTGATTTCTATCTTTGATACTCCTGTATTAAATATCCAGAGTTTTAAATCTCTGCATCCCCTACCATATTCCTATACTGTCCCCAGGAACCTGTGCCTCTCCCTGACCCTCCCACCTCTCTTCTGAAAGTTCTATGGGGAGCACATTTCACTTTTCCTTTCCTGGAGGACCAGTCTCCTTTACCATCGACTTTAAGGGCCCAAAATGGCTGAGTTTCTAGACTGTGATAATCATAATTATACTTTTCGTTTACATGGGCTCTTTCTCATCTTATTTCTTAGAGTGTGGTCTCCTGACCTGCAACATCAGTTAGAAACCCCTGGGAGATTCTTTTAATATGCAGTTCTTTGGCCCCGGTCCAGACATAGTCCGCCAGTGACTTTTGTTTTTGAGGTGGCTAGTATTTTTAACAACCTTCCCAGCTGTGTCTGCACACTAAAATTTGAGAGCCATTGCTGTGGGACAGAAAGTGGGTCATCAATGTGGACAAGCGGGGCTGAGCAAAGGGGTAGCATGGGGAGGATGAAGAGCTGTCTGGGGTCTGGGCCTTCTGTGCAGATCTTTGAGCAGAGGGAAGGCTAGAAGATTCAAGGAGATCAAAGTTAAGTTTAGGCAAAGGAGGCTAGAGGAAGGAAACTGGCCTGCTGGGTAGGCTTCAGATCTCAAAGCAACAATTCCAGGAAGTCAGCCTCCAGCAGCTTGAGCTAGGCCCTTCAAGGGAGCAAGGAGACCCCCAGAGGAATGGACAGAATCAGCAACCCCCCCACTTTTTTAAAGATTATTTATTTATTTATTTGACAGGCAGAGGTCACAAGTAGGCAAAGAGGCAGGCAGAGAGAGAGGCAGAAGCAGGCTCCTCGCTGAGCAGAGAGCCCGATGTGGGGCTCAGTCCCAGGACCCTAGGATCACGACCCGAACCGAAGGCAGAGGCTTTAACCCATTGAACCAACCAGGCACCCCAGCAATCTCCCTTTTGAATTCAACCACATTGCCATTACCAAGTGTCTTAAGATTATTGAAACACGCTGTCCTCAGGAAGAGGTAGTCACAGTCTGCTTTTATATCTCAGTTTCTTCCAGTTAAGGGTAAGTTGGAGGTATAAATAATCAGGGTTGGGGTGCCTGGGTGGCACAGTCAATTAAGCATCCAACTCTTGGTCTCAGCTCAGGTCATGATCTCAGGGTTGTGAGATTGAGCCCTGCGTCAGGCTCTGCCCTGAGTGTGGAGTCTGCTTAAGATTCTCTCTCTTCAGGACACCTGGGTGGCTCAGTGGGTTAAAGCCTCTGCCTTCGGCTCAGGTCATGATCCCAGGGTTCTGGAATCGAGCCCTGCATCCGGCTCTCTGCTCAGCAGAGAGCCTACTTCCCTCCCCCTTCTCTCTCTGCCCGCCTCTCTGCCTCCTTGTGATCTCTGTCTGTCAAATAAATAAATAAAATCTTAAAAAAAAAAAAGATTCTCTCTCTTCCCCTTTCCCCCACTTGCTCTCTCTCTCAAATAAATAAATAAAATCTTAAAACAACAACAAAAACCCAGGATTGAGAAGACAGACCAGTATGTACTAAGATATAACTATAGGTGATACCAGATATTTCCAAGTAGAATTTGGTAAATTAGAAATGCTGGGAGGTGAACATTATCAGAGAAATAAAGAGTTACAGAAGGAAGAATGGTGGGTAAGCGTGGGGGAGCACGTAGGTGAATTCTGCCTAGATCAGCCCCTTATTTTTTTTTTTTTTTAAAGATTTTATTTATTTATTTGACAGACAGAGATCACAAGTAGGCAGAGAGGCAGGCAGAGAGAGAGGTGGAGGCAGGCTCCCTGCGGAGCAGAGAGCCCGATGTGGGGCTCGATCCCAGGACCCTGGGATCATGACCTGAGCTGAAGGCAGAGGCTTAACCCACTGAGCCACCCAGGCGCCCCAGATCAGCCCCTTATAATTACAGCTGTACCAGGACATCTCTGTCCCACCTCCACTGGGTCTGGGCCCAGTGGGCTTGTGTTGCCAGTGTAAAGTATATTGTCAGTCTTTATCTTACCCAGCCTTTGCTACATCTGAAAATAAATGGCCAGTCTCTCCTTTTGGGAACTTGGCTTTCTTGGCTTCTTTCTTACCTTCTAACCATTCCTTCCTGGTCTCTTTCATAACTCCTGTTATGAAATTCCTTTGAAACTATGTTTCAAACTCCTGTCAATCTACCCTTAAGTTGCTACTGCTCATTTCATTCTGAGCAATCTCTTCCCCTCTGACCATTGTAACTGTCCCTGTAATGTGTAAGATTCTCAAATCCATATTTCTGGCTTCCTCCTAGGACTTCAGATTTCTATCTTGCTTCTCCCCTATTACACATGCACACAAACACACACACACACACACGCACACACACACACTCTGCCTTACAGGAAAAAGCTACCAGTTCTACCGAATCTAGTTTCTAGATTCTTCCTGAGCCTATTCCTCACAGGTGTGGTTTAGGGCCTCACTAACTCTTTTTTTTTTTTTTTTTTTTAAGATTTTATTTGAGAGAGAGTGAGCGAGCATGAGTGGGGGGAGCAGAAGGCAGAGAGAGAAGTAGACTTCCTGCTGAATAGGGAGCCCAACATGGGGCTCGATCCCAAGACCCTGGGATCATGACCTGAAGTCAGACACTTAGGCAGCTGAGGCCCCCAGGGGCCCTGGAGCTTCACTAACTCTCAATGAACTAATGGGGCACTACTTTTTTACTGCTTTTCCTGTTTCTGGTCTAAAATCCGTCTCTCCTGTTGCCATTCAAGTATTATACCTTTAAAAAAGTAAAACTGAGGGGTGCCTTTGTGACTTAGTCAGTTAAGTGTCCGACTCTTGATTTTTGACTCAGGTTCTGTGATCTTGGGAATCTTGGGAGTCGTGAGATTGAGCCCTGTGTCAGGCTCCATAAGCATGGAGCCTGCCTAAGATTCTCTTTCTCCCTCTGCCCTTCCTCTATTCCCCCCATCCCATATTCACATGTGTGTGTGCATACTCTTTCTCTCTCTCAAAAAAAAAAAGTAAAACTACGGGCCCTCTGTGAGCTGGCCCTCACATCTCTCCCTAGCATGAGCCCCTTCTTTCCTCACCTTGGAATTTGTGCTCCATCAGTGTCTGATGTCTTTGAACTCCTTGCCCGCGCTGTGATGTTTTATCCCCTCTGGCCTCAGCTGGTACTACTGTGTATTTGTGCAATAACATCCCATCTCCCCATTTGCCTTCTTATGGTTACACTGCTCATTATTTAATACTAGTTCAGCTGTCTTCACAAACCGTCTCTGAAGCATTGTTGCTCCCCTCCTTATTCTCACCCTGGACACAGTGTTTCCGTAACTTACCACATTGTATCAAATTCTTATCCACGCCCCTTGTTAAACCCTGAGCTCCTTAAGAACAGGGAATATATTGTTGGAATATATTGTCTTTGTGTCCCTAGTGCAACCTCTGGGACAGTGCCTGGCACACAGTAGGCACTCCATAAGCATTTGTTATTCTGAATTTCCAAAACCATCAAGGGGCCCCCATCACTCAAGTGTGTATGGAGGGCAGGCTGCTTGATGCACCTTCAGTGTGTGTGTTTACTGTCCCAGATGATTAGATATGAATTATTAAAGGTCATATAAGCAGCTGCACAAGACAAAGCTGGAATTCTGATAAGTCATTTATAATCTTTCAGAATGGCCTGTGGGTGTCCAAGGATTTTGGGGGAAAATGGGAAGAAATCCACAAAGCAGTATGTTTGGCCAAATGGTGAGTAACAGAAGACTCCATCTGTGCAGGGCCCTAACCCTATCCTGACAGCGCTGCCAGAAGTCACAGGACTAAGTACTGAGCACGGACTACGTGCCATGTAGTCTTCAGGGTGCCTTGAGGGGCCTAAGGGGAGGGGCATGACACAGATCTTGACCTGGAGGAACTTCTGATTCTGCTGGGAAAGAATCCTTAATCTCACTAAGCATTAGGATATAAAGTGTAAAACAGGGCACAGGACTGAGTAGCTGCTGCCCGCAAAGGTTTGTTCTCCATAAAAGGTGACATCAGTCGGAATAGCATAACACACAGCTCTGACCTGGGACTTACGTACTTCTCTGTGGCCAGATTTATATTCCCTCACCTAGAGATCCATTCCGGCTGTGCGGAATGTAGCAAGGAGTCAGGAAGAAAGCCCGGAGAACCCCCAGAGTGCTAGAGTCACCCTGTGCGTGCACCAAAAATCCTTCCCCTCTCTCGGTGGGACACCCGCAGCGCGTGTGCGCGCGCGCGCGCGCACACACACACACACACACCTCCCTGCTTAAGATGATGCAGCTGAGGAGCTCTTACTTGGGAATTGGGTCACCTTTGTTCAAAACTGGCTTAGTCAGTGGCTTAACCTCGCTGGGCTCTAGTGTTTCCCTTTTGTGAAAGATTTACTGGGGGGAGTTTGGGGGATGGTGGAGCAAGAATCGAATTAAAAACCTTCATACCACCACAATTCTGATTATGCTCCCACCCTAGAGCCTTTTCTTTCTCTTTGACTAATTTCAGCAAATTTGTGCATCTAGTTTCCCTGTTGAGAGCAGATTGGTGCCTGAGGTGGGGGGTATGAGTGCTAGCAACCAGCACGGCCTGCTTGAGACGCAACTGCTGAGAGCAGCACGGAGGCAGGAGAGCTGTAAAAGCAGCCACACCAGAGAGGCCGTGACAGGATGTGCTGCTTTTGTGCCGGATCAAGAGAGCCCACGTAGCTCAGTAACTTCTAATAGGAACACTGTGTTACAGTGTCAGATGCTTGATGTTCATGAACATGACCCATAGTCCCAGGGAAGAATTTAATAGTTAATGTCCTCTACTTAGGGAGTCAGGGAGATGTTTAATACATTGCCAAATATATCTACTGAAATTAAAATATTAAAAAAATACTGCTTCAAGTGGCCTTTTCCCAGAAACTGCTGATAAAATGAGGTCTGTGCTGCCACGCTCTGGGACACAGGCTATATCTGCATTCGGTCTGTGTATTTTCACAAATTGTGTTTGTGCCTTATATGGTCTTATCAGGAAGGAAGTAATTTTAAAGGAACTAAGTCAACAAGTTGCTTCACTCTCAGTGGACCTAAAGTATATAGGATGTGCTCAAGTAAGACTATAGTAAGTTTTGGTCATTAAAACTCACCATGATACATGTATATCAAATCACCACAGTATGCACTCTCAATGGTATTTGTCAGTTAGACCTTAAATAAAAAGCCAAAAGAAGCAAACAGAAAACTCATCTTGAAAGCTAAACCTTTAGGGATTCCTGGCTGGCTCAGTTGGTAGAGCGTGCAACTCTTGATCTCAGGGTCATGGGTTTGAGCCCCATGTTAGGTGTAGAGATTACTGAAAATTTTTTAAAAATCTTAAAAAAAAACCCTAAAATTCATTTTTATTTTACTTTTTAAAAAGATTTTATTTATTTATTTGACAGAGATCACAAGTAGGCAGAGAGAGAGAGAAGAGGAAGCAGGCTCCCTGCTGAGCAGAGAGTCCGATGCCGGATTCGATCCCAGGATCCTGAGATCATGATCTGAGCTGAAAGCAGAGGCTTAACCTACTGAGCCACTCAGGCGCCCCTAAAATTTGTTTTTAAGTGGTATTTTGTATCCTCTATAGGTTTTTTTTTTTTTACTTTTGTAACTTGTTTCTTTGATTAGTGTCTAAATACAAGATAATTGGACAGCTGATAACTATTTACACACCTTTTAGATCTTTGATTTCTAGGAGTTGACAGCCCGAAGTGCTGAAAGAACATGCTCAGAGCCCACCCCTTGTGCTGGTGCTCAGCCAAAAGTACTGCCAGGTTCTGAACCTACTGTCCTACAAACTCCCTTTTCCAAGGTAGAATTTAAATAATTCAACCTCTGACCTAGCTGTCTATTTGAGATGAAAGAACTAAGTTATTTAGCACATGCAAAGCATTGAACTAGGTTCTGAGGGGAAACAACAAAGCATAAAACTTCATACCTGTCCTAAAGAACCCGATAATGTAGTAGGAGAGGGAGGTGTACACTGTTCCATTAAAATAATTAAATAGGAGACAAAGGAGTGCCAAATGGCTGGTGCAGAATGGCATGGTGCTCTAGAACACAAGGTTTCTCAACCCCTGGCACTCATGACATTTTGGACTAGAAAGTTCTTTGCTGTGGGGGAGTCGTCCTAGCATTGCAGGATGGTTAGCATCACCCCTGGTCTCTGCCCGTTGGTACTAGCAACAACTCCCCATCCCTCAGTTGCAACAATCAGAAATGTGCCCTGGGGAGTAAAGTCACCCCCGGTTGAGAATCACTGCTGTAGAAATTTGCAGCAAAGAAGCTTTCCAGGTGGAGCACCAGGAAAAGTTTCATGGAAGAGCTAGATTTTCAGCTGGAGCCTAAAGACTGTGAGGTTAGATCTGATTATAGGAGAGAAAAAAGCATTTCAAGCCGGAAACAGGAACAGCAAATGCAAGAGGCAGATTTGGAGAGTGTAAACAGACCAATCTGACCATCTGGAAGAGTTCACGTGAAGTAGTGGACAGGCAAAATCCTGGGCCAGGTTGGGGGGCACCTTGACCAGTGTGGCTGGGAGAGTCCAGCATACAGCACCCCAGAAGGCCGTTTCGCCTGGCACCCATGGGTGGAGCTTATCACTAGAAGCTTGCTTGGAGCTTTGTGACTGCCGTTGACAGCAGTCTTGAACCATGTCTTTTCTCTGTCTTTGCCTCTCTTTAGGGGATCAGAAAACACCATCTTCTTTACCACCTATGCAAATGGCTCCTGCAGTAAGTATATTTTAGTTCCAAATAAGAATGTCCTGTGGTCCATTCACAGTAGAATGTTCTGGGTGCTAAGAGATAGAAACACCAGAGATCCTTCTATTCTTCTGTAGTTTTAATAGCTAAGATAACTGTCAAGGATTTTAAAAATTTTGAAAGTACTGAGCCTAGATTGAATAAAAACATTAGCTATACAGAGAGGCAGTGTACTTAATTTTAGCAATGTGTTTACATAAAGTAATTATTAGGCTACAAACAATAACAAGTCGAAAGACCATGGAGGTTGTGTTGTGATGTTGTCAGCTTTCCAAACCATGGCACCATTTCAAAGCAGAAAGCATGGTCTTTCATTTATTCATTCAACAAACTCATTTTTTCATTCACTGATTTGCACACCTGCTGTAATATGCCATTCACTGTTCTAAGGATGGAGAGAGCAAGACACCCAAGCTTCTCTTATGGGGCTTGAGTTCCAGTAGGGGGTATTAGATGATCAGCAAGAAAACCAAAAACTCAAACAAGACTACTTAAAATAGAAAAAGATAAGTGTGCCATGAAGAAAGCAAAACAGGATGCTGTGGCCGTGACATGTTTATGCAACACTGTATTTGAATTAAGTAAACTCGGTCGTTCTGTCTAGTGCAGAACCTCACATGTACAATATTAAAACCCAAATGTGAATTCCCTATATCTAATGCTGTGTCATTTTACATTGTCACTTGATTAACAAGCATAGAATTAAAAATCGTTTAGCTATAAAATTAACATTCTAAAACGATTGTTTTGGGCTGAAGGCTCACCAGTATGTGAAATTTTAATTAATGTTTTGTCTTGTTTAAGAAGCTGACCTTGGGGCACTGGAATTATGGAGAACTTCAGACTTGGGGAAAAGCTTCAAAACCATTGGTGTGAAAATCTACTCATTTGGTCTTGGGGGACGTTTCCTTTTTGCCTCTGTGATGGCTGATAAGGTGAGTGTTTCCTCTTTTGGCAATTCTGAAATTTCTGTAAATATGTCTCAAATGGATCCCTTTTACCACTGGTCCTGGCAGAGTTTCTTGCCTTTTTGTAGTGTTTAGTATCACTAACATTTGGAAGTAATTCTTTCTAGAGGCTGATTGATTCTTCTGGGCTCTGCACACCAGCCTGTTGTCACCATATGATTACCCACAACCCCAGAATTTGGACTTTACTCAGACACAGATACCTGAAAAAAAAGCAATCCACTTGCTCACTATCCAATAATGATAATAGAAATAGGTAACATTAATTAAGTACCTGCTGTATTCTAGATACTATTCTAGACCCCAGGAATATAGCATTGAACAAAACAGATAAATGTCCTACTCTCAGAGCTTATATTTAAGTAGGGAGTTAGATAGATACTAAACTAATAAATTTGACATAATATTAGGTAGTGATTAAAGCTACGAAGAAATCTATGACAGAGTAAGGAACTAGAATGTGCTAGGAACTGGAGTAGTCCTGTTTTAGATCAGGTGGCTTGGATGGGCTGAGACCCAACTGAAGGGAGAGCGTAGTTCTGTGTACATCTGGGCTGAAGGAGCAGTAGGCACAAAGACAGTAAGCACAAAGATTGGAACATGCTGGAAATATTGAAGAAAAGTGAGGATGGCTGCATGGCTAGAGCACAAAGAAGGGTGATCCAAAGAGGGGGAGCCAGTGGTCAAATGAGAGAAGACTTTAATGGGCCAAGACCTTGGGTTTTCTTCTTCTTGTTTTGGGGAGCTGTGAAAGGCTGTGAGTGGGGGAATGGCGTAAGTTGGCTTCTGTTTCGACAGAGTAGGTAGGTGTAGAATAGCCTGACGGGCAGAAATGGAAGTACCAAGAGCAGCTAGGAGCCCGTGACAGCAGGGAGAGAGATGGTAGGCTGTTAATGTGGACGAGTGAGGCAGTGGTAAGATCTTGGATGTATTGTTAATGTATTGCCAATAGGATTTGCTGATGAATTAGATGTGGTTTGTGAAGGAATGAGAGGAACCAAAGATAACTTTAGAATCTTTGCCCTGAGCAACTGGGTGAATGATGGTACCATTTCCTGAGATGGCAAGAGAACTAAGTTTGTAGGAGAAAAGTCAAGAATTCATTTTCGGGTATGACATGCCCACTAGACACCTAAGTGGAAATGTCGAGTAACATTTGGGCATGAGTCTCCCCAGATTATATGGTATATGAAGCTGTGCGACTAGATGATATCTTCTGGAGGACTGAGCGCATGCTGGAGCACCCCAGTGACACTGAAGGGTTGGAAAAAAGATGAGAATCCAGCAAAGAAGACCAAGAGGGAGGTGGGGAATCGGACAGGGATGCCACGAAATCCCAGGGGAGGAAGTATCTCAGGAAGAAGGAGTGATCAGCTGTGTGCAACTCAGCTGAGATGTGGGATTAGAGCAGTCCTTAGAATGACCCACTTTAGTTGGCGAAGTGGAGATTGTCGGTGACCTTGACAAGTGCAGTTTCTTCAGAGGACTGGGGTTAATGGACTGATTACAGTGGGTTCAGAGAGAATAGGAGTGGAGATGGGGAAGTAGACACAATGACTTCACATAACTCCCTCCAGCAGTTGCACAGAATCTTCCCAGCAACCCGGGAGCAGGTCCTCTTGCCTCAATTTGTATTTGAGGAGATTGAGTAACTTGCTTGGGTCACCGAGAGGTGGAACTGTGGTGGGAATCAGACTGGCCCACTCTGGAGGGGGCCTCCTGTGGTGCAGCGCTAGTCTACCAGGTCACCACCCTACTGTATGCTTTTGAATTCTAGTTCTTACCTGCAACAGTAAGACTGAAAGTGAACTTCCAGGTGTGAGAGAAGTAAGTCAAATGCACTTGCCACTGAACTTTAAAGTGTTTAACATTAGGAGGCACTGGGACTAATTCTTGTGCACTGGCCAACTGTGTCTAGTAGGTACTTTAAGCTGTTCCTCAGAGAGGAGGTATTACCTGCCTTCTTAACAGACTCCTTTCAGCATATAAATACCTCCTGATCAGCTCCCTTATATTGGCCACTTCCCAGGCTGTGCAGGACCTTCATTACGGCGATTCACAGACCTTTATTCCTTAAAGAGGAGACGTGTCACATCTTGACTTCCCTGTGATCTCAAGGGAAGCATGGGTTTCATCTCCCTTTTTTAGACTCTTAATTATCTAGTTCTTTGGATTATGCCAGGACTATCTCAAAGAAACTAAACTTCTGTGCAGCAGTCATCATTTTAAGAATTATCTGAGCAAGCATATATGAATGCCTGTAAAGCCAAACTAAGATGGCCCCATCACCCCTTTAGCTCTGTTGAAGGAAATGGGAATGTCAGAGGTTGGGAAGGTTATATCTTACAGGGCCATACCAGAATGGAGAAGCCAAAGAGGAAGTCAAGATAACCTTTGTTATTTTTTTTTTTAAGATTTTATTTATTTATTTGACAGACAGAAATCACAAGTAGGCAGAGAGGCAGGCAGAGAGAGAGGGGGAGGCAGGCTCCCTGCTGAGCAGAGAGCCCGATGCGGGGCTCGATCCCAGGACCCTGAGATCATGACCCGAGCCGAAGGGAGAGGTTTAACCCACTGAGCTACCCAGGCACCCCAAGATAACCTTTGTTATAATAGAATGGATTGTTCTATGGCCTGGAACTTTGCTAGGGGTTGGAAATTGCTTTGCTAACTGGTACTGGGACCTGTCAATTATAACAGTTGTACCTAGTGAGGAAATGGATAATGATACTCATAATTATGAATAATAAGGTTCCTATTCATGTCCCTGCACAGGGCATCTTGGCAGAAAATTAAAAAGATAAATATTGGCATTTGTTCCAGGATACAACAAGAAGGATTCATGTGTCAACAGATCAAGGGGACACATGGAGCATGGCCCAGCTACCTTCTGTGGGGCAGGAACAGTTCTATTCTATTCTAGCAGCTAATGATGACATGGTGTTCATGCATGTCGATGAACCCGGAGGTAAGAGCTCTTTCAGCGGCCCGCCCTTGAATGCTCAGAGATGTAAGCTTCAAGTTCGACTTTGAACTTCCTTCTTACATGTTGACTTTTTCACTTACCCCGAGGTATTTATTAGTGTCCTACTGAATATACTGTCTTACAGAGAATATGTAGTCTCTGTTAGAAAGGCCCCTTGCTTTGACTCTGTAGTGTGGTTTATGTGTATGCTCAAGTATTCTGGAGCACTGCTGCTCAAAGAACGGTCAGAGGACTGGCACTGGTTTGCAAACTCTTTGTTACCAAGTAAGCACAGAAAACAATAGCAGGCATTGAGAAACTCCTATAGCCTTTGACCAAGTCTTTTTTTATCTGTTGAATCTAATCATTAAAAAATGGTGGATTATATTTTGTCTATCTTTTGTACTTCACTCTTCTTATGATTAATTTTTATTATACTTTACAAAGGATCAGTTTGTGCCATAGTAGAAATTTAAAAATTGATCTTTTACCAGGGCACTTGCCTGGCTTGGTCAGAAGATCACGTGACTCTTGATCTGGGGATTGTGAGTTCGAGCCCCACACTGGGTATAGAGATTCCTTAAATAAATAAAACTTTAAAAAAATTGATCCTTCACCACAGATAGTTTGAGAAGCATTGTTCTGGAATATGAAGATTTAGAGAGATGTAGGATATGAATCCAAAGGCATTGCCTCTGCCACCAGAATAGATCTGGGGAGGTCTTTTCTGTAGCATCTGATTAATCCATCCAACAAACAGTATCTGCCATACTCCAGTCAACAAGCTGGTGCTGGAATTAAAGGTGGACATGAAAATCACGAGTATCAAACCATGATTAATTCTCAGGTCTGCATCTACATCATGAAGAGAGACAGTTGGCTAATGTACACAGTCCGTACTGTGGTCAGTCGTGTGTATGGCTGGACTCTTGTTTTCCCTCTGTTCCCTCCCAGACTTAGTGTTTTTGTTTGTTTGCCTATTTCAGATACCGGATTTGGAACAATCTTTACCTCAGATGATCGAGGCATTGTCTACTCCAAGTCCTTAGACCGACATCTCTACACCACCACAGGTGGCGAGACAGACTTTACCAATGTGACCTCCCTCCGTGGGGTCTACATAACAAGTGTGCTCTCAGAAGGTGAGTCTGGGTACAGCTGTCCTTCTCCTGAAGATGTTGGGAGTTGAGGTTGTGGGGGAGAATAATGGTTCTGATCCTGAGGTAATGTTGCTTGCCTGGCCTGCAAAACTATCCGTGTAAATTCTGACTCTTTATGTTACATAAATTATGGTAAACAGGATTAAAAAGAAGTAAAGCAACAGCAGGTAAAAAGAAAGACTTTTTGAGTTCTATGTTGTTTAGGGTAAGTGTTAAAAAAAAATAAGTTTTCTATATAGGGAGGTTCAGGACTAGGGGAATGAGCCTGAGTTTGAACCACTGCTTGCTTTTCTCCTGGCAGAGGGCACAGCTATAGCCAGCCAGCATTTCTCTTGTGTTCTACTCAGTAGTTCTGCAGAGCTCACCTTGCTAAGGCCCAGTTGTACAAATAAACACGCCACCCTAAAGTATAAAAAGGCTCTTAAGGTTTTGTTTAAATATGTATTTATTTTTTGGTAGGAGGTGGGGCATTGTTTGTTTTTATTTGTAAATTTTATTACTTGTAGTGGTCTGCAAGGTCTTAATCAGTATTGGTCCCTGTTTCCTCCCTGACCTCAGCTGCTACCCCTTTCCCCTCTCCTTACTGTATTCTGGTCACTCCAGCCTTCTGCACACACACCTGGTTTAGAGATGTGCAGGCACTGTTCTCTGTTTCCCCAAAGAGCTGCAAGGCTAATGCCGTGCCCCTTCCCATCTATGCTCATATGTTGCTTTCTGATGAGAACTTGCCCAGGGTATCCCGTTGGAAACTTGTCTGCCCTCCCCTCCTCACAGATACACTCAGCCTCTCCTTAGCAGGTTTTTCCCATACACTTATTGTCTCACGTACTATATAATTTACCTATTTACAGTGTCTGGTGTCTGTCTGATCCTGCCGGGATGTATATTTCCGAAAGTGGGTTTTTTTTTTTTTTTCCTGTTTTGTTCACTGAAAGAGTCTCGAGGGTTTACAGCAGTTTTCATAGTAGGCACGCAATAAATGTTTATTGACTAAATGAATTGTCCTTCATTTGCCTTCTTGTTTGATTTTCGTTGGACATCTCAAAGCATATTGCCTCTGAATTTAAACCTGCAATAGTTTATGTCATTGAAAATAGAACAGGGAAGAGACTTGTAGAAAAAAGGAAAGAAAAAGTACAAGAGGTCAGATACAGAGTAATGGAGAGACAGAAACTAGGAATTATTACGCCAGACTCACACTCACACATTCAAATCCCATTCAGATCTTGAGAGTCCCTAAAACAAGCCTGGTATCCTGGCCTTCTCTGAGGAAAGAGTGGGATGCCTTCCCATTGTAGATTTTACTTCCAAGGCAAGCAAGCAAGCAAGGAGAATGGACATCAGCCTGTTTTGTTGGTGAGGAGATAAAAGGTATCTTTTCAAGAGTATCAGTCTAGATGATTCCTGTCATCAGCTGAGTCCTAGGAAGGTGGGAAGCCTTGCTCAGATATCGTGGAGTGCTCTCTGGATCAGTTTCCCACCAGTACCGAGCTGTTCTGTTGGATGTCACAAGCTTGTGGGCCTCCAGACTTGTAATGGTATTGTGTAGTCTCAGGAGAGAGATATGCAATGATCAGCTGAAGTCCATAAGACGCTTCCAGTGTTTCAGACTTAGTGTCCTTCTTCTCCCATTCAGATAATTCCATCCAGACTATGATCACTTTTGATCAAGGAGGAAGATGGAAGCATCTGAGGAAGCCCGAAAACAGTGAATGCGATGCTACAGCAAAAAACAAGAATGAGGTTTGTTTTACCCCAAGTGTCCTATGTGCTTGGAGCAAGGCAGCCGTTCCATTCTGCTCTGATGGGTGCCAGGCCTTTGAATAATGAAGTTTTGTAAGTGATTAGGGTCTGCAGCTGCAAGCCGAAAGTTTAGAAGTGAGAGTAATGAAAGGAACTTAGAATGCAGGAAAAGGAACTATAAAGAAAAGCCAAAAATACCATGGATTATTTGTCTTCTTAAAAAAAAAAACTGAAGGCTAAAATTTTGTGTCTTATTAAACTGCTGAATGCAGACAGAGCAGAAGGTGGGCCTGTGATCATTCAGGAGTCAGCATGGCGGAAGGTGGGAATCCTTTAGGAAGGATTTCGGGATCCTTCACGAAGCTATGAGCATTCATGAGCAGTGCAAAGCTGTGCTGGCCAGAAACAAATGGAAGAGAACTTGGCTTTCTCTTCCCCTCTGCCTGGGCTCCATGTGGCTGGCGGGTATGGATGGAGACGCCGTGCCATTGCAGGTGTGAAAGTCGGAGCTGACCCCTCTGAGGAGAGGCTAAGAATAGAATAGAGATAGAAGGGCATTGCTCCGGGAGATCCCAGATTCCAGGAGTGACGGGTCTTGACAGGCAAGAAATAAAGAAAAGATAAAAGCTTTATATCTGACTTCTAGAGAGTTTGAGAGGAGCGTGAGGAAACCCTGGGAGTTTTCTTCAAAAAGTGACAGTGTTAGTGGTTCCCAAGTTCTCCTCAGAACACCTGTGGCTAATAGGCACTCTGCTGTTGTAGGTGGGATTTTTGTTTTGTTTGAGAACCTCAGACAGTGTGAGGTAGGGTACCTGTACCCCCCTCAAAGCTCTCTCTCCTTCTCTGTACTCGTAAGTGCTGTGAGCCTCTCTCCCCTCTCCTTTTTTCCCATCCGTCTGCCATGGCCTTGCCTTAACCTGGCTGGGGCAGTGGACTCTTGACTGATGTGGCCCCCCTCACACTCCCATGCCTCTCCCTCCTCAGGACACGTTAGGCTTCCCCTCTGCCTGTGAATAAATGCTGTGCCTTTGACCTGGTGAATGAAGGTCCTCTCCTCCCTGTCAGGCTCTCTCCTGCCTTTTCATTGTCACTGTCCATCTTATCACTGGTATTTTCCTTATTGTAGCCCTCTGCTGCTCCCTGAACACCCCACATGCACCCCTACCACTGTGGCCCACGAGACTCCTGGGGAAATTGTGGCTGATTTTCCACCCCCAAGTCATTAGAATTAGTAGAAATCCTGACCATCCTCCTGCCCACCTTCAGTTAGAATTAATGCTTCCAGGAGCCTGGGTGGCTCAGTCAGCTAAGCGTCTGCCTTCGGCTCAGGTCATGATCCCAGGGTCCTGGGATCGAGTCCTATATCAGGCTTCTTGATCAGCGGGGAGCCTAATTCTCCCTCTCCCCCTGCTCATGCTCTCTCTTGCGAGCTCTCTCTCTCTATCTCAAATAAATGAATAAAATCTTTTTATTTTTTTTTAAGATTTTATTTATTTATTTGACAGACAGAGATTACAAGTAGGCGGAGAGGCAGGCAGAGAGAGAGGAGGAAGCAGGCTCCCTGCTGAGCAGACAGCCCGATGTGGAGCTCAATCCCAGGACTCTGAGATCATGACCTGAGCCGATGGCAGAGGCTTTAACCCACTGAGCCACCCAGCCGCCCCTGAAGAAAATCTTTTTAAAAAAATAGGATTAATCCTTCCTCTTCATTTCACCAATAGTTTGCTTGAACCTCTTGTTTATTGCAGTAAAATATATGATAGAACATGAACATTTTATCCAATGCAGACCTCTTTTAAAGCATTAACTTTCTTGTAAAATCTCTCTTTAAAAAAAAAAAAAAGATTTATTTGTTTGTTTTAGAGAGAGAAAGAGTGTGTGCACACATGTGCAGGGAGGGGCAGAGGGAGAGAATCTTCAAGCAGACTCCCTGCTGAGCTCAGAGCCCAATGCAGGGCTCAGTCCCAGGACCCTGAGATTATGACCTGAGCTGAAACCAAGAGTCAGATGCTTAACTGACTGAGCCACCCCAGCGCCCCTCAGAAATCTCTCTTAAAGGCAGGACTGGGTTTTACTTTGAATCAGTACCACATCTTGTACAGTACCTGGAATATTTCAGGCATTCATGAAGTTTGTGTGGAATCATACTTAAATATTGATCACAGGCTTCAGTATAATGCAGGAATAAAATAAATTAAGACATTGCACATGAGAAAATAATTGCATAATTTGCTCCCAAATATACTAATGCATTTTGGGATCAAGAATATTCCACTGGGGGCACCTGGGTGGCTCAGTTGGTTAAGCAACTGCCTTCAGCTCAGGTCATGATCCTGGAATCCCGGGATCGAGACCTGCATCAGGCTCCCAGCTCCATGGGGAGTCTGCTTCTCCCTCTGACCTTCTCCCCTCTTGTGCCTTTCTCACTGTCTCTCTCTCAAATAAATAAATAAAATCTTAAAAAAAAAAAAAAGGAATATCCCACTGGGACTATAACTCAACAACAAAAACAACCCAAATTAAAAATGGTCGAAGGACTGAAATAGACATTTCTCTAAAGAAAATATACAAATGGCCAAGAAGCACATGAAAAGACGCTTGACATCACTAATTATTAAGGAAATGCAAATCAAAAGCACAGGGAAAGATCACATCACACATTAGAATGGCTACAACTATCAAAAATAAAATAACATGTATTGCTAGGGATGTGGAGAAATTAGAACCCTTGTGCGCTGTTGGTGGATATGAAAAATAGTGCAGTCTCTATGGGAAACAGTATGGTGGGTCCTCAAAAAATTAAACGTAGAACTACCATATGATCCAGCAATCCTACTTCTGGGTATATATCCGAAAGAATTGAAAGCAGGGTCTTGAAGAGCTATTTGTATGCCCTTGTGCACAGCAACATTATCTACAAGAGGCAAAAGGTGGAAGCAACCCAAGTGTCCGTAGACCACTAAATGGATAAGCCAGATGTTTTATATACATGCCATGGAATAATATTGTGCCCTAAAAAGGCAGGAAATCCTGACAACATGAAATTACTACAACATGGATGAACCCCAAGGACATAACACCAAGTGAAATAAGCCAGTCGTAAAAAGACAAATACCGGGGCACCTGGGTGGCTCAGTGGGTTAAGCCTCTGCCTTCAGCTCAGGTCACGATCTCAGGGTCCTGGGATCGAGCCCCGCATCAGGCTCTTTGCTCAGTGAGGAGCCTGCTTCCCCCTCTCTCTCTGCCTGCCTCTCTGCCTACTTGTGATCTCTCTCTCTCTCTGTAAAATAAATAAATAAAATCTTTTTTTTTTTAAAAGAGAAATACTGTTCCACTTCTGTAAGGTGCCTAGAATAGTCAGATTCATAGAACAAGAAAGTGGAATGGTGGTTCCCATTCTGGAAGGTCGGGAAATCTGGGAGGAGGGGCATTGGGAGTTACTGGTTAATGAGTTAGACTTTTAGTTTTGCGAGATGAAAAAGCTCTGGAGATGGACAGTGGTGATGGTGGCACAACATTGTTAATGTGTTTAACCCTGCTGAGCTGCGCATTTAAACATGCGTGGCTAAGATGGTAAATTTTATGGTATTTTACCCCAACTTTTTTGAAGAGTATCCCACTGAAGTCTGGGTTCAGTTCAGAGCTTCCTTAGAAGGGTCTGTGAGATGAGTTAAAAATTACACCTTTGGTTTTAATCTAAGCTTTGGTTTCTTTTCACAGTGCAGCCTTCATATTCACGCTTCCTACAGCATCTCCCAGAAGCTAAACGTCCCAATGGCCCCGCTCTCTGAGCCTAAGGCCGTCGGCATAGTCATTGCCCACGGTAAGCAGCCCTCCTCTCATCTCCCCGGGAACCATCAGCTGAGCATGCTGAGACTCAGTCCCAGTCTTGAATCCTGTAAGAAAACCACCAGACATGACTCTTACCATGCTTTATAGAGTTTCTTACATGATAATGGTATTTTGGGTTTTCCCTGGAGAGAGAAACATGTTTTTTCCCTTTCCCAAATTTTGTGGTCTTTTTTTTCTGTTACAAGAGACATGACGGGAAATAGGGTAAATTCATTGAAAATCATTCCCTCAACGCTAAATCCCCTCCGTTCCGTTGCTGGTTTTTGCTGATAAGATGGGTTGTGTTACAGGTAGTGTAGGGGATGCCATCTCAGTGATGATCCCAGATGTATACATCTCAGATGATGGGGGTTACTCCTGGACGAAGATGCTGGAAGGACCCCACTATTACACCATCCTGGATTCCGGAGGCATCATTGTGGCCATTGAGCACAGCAGCCATCCTATCAATGTGATTAAGTATGCATGAGCTCCGCTCCACCCACACTATCTCCACGGAGGGCGACTGTGGGATGCTTTTTAGTTGTGGGGAGAACTGGGGGGGTGAGGGACTGGTTACAGACCCTGACTCAAATGTGTGCATTCTACAGAACTGTGGGGATCATTCTTGAAGGGATTGCAACCCACATTCAGTGGCTTTGCTTTTTCTTCTGACTTCCTCTAGCTAACACTTTTTGTCACTTTTTAAAAATATTCTTCTTTCTCTCCACAAGAATCTTACACAGCGTTTTAGCACTTTGGGTGGAAGGTGACTCCTTAAGTATAAGTTACACAAAGTAATTTCTGTTTATTTATTTAGAAGCCCGTTCCTTCCTGTGAAAGAAATTTTATAAAGACATTTTCTTCTTTACTCTTTGAATGAATCCCTTTTACCCACCCTATTAACTGTAGGCATTAAAAATTAATATAATCATCAGTCAGCCATCACCTAAATATGAGGGCTTTCTCTGGTTTGGGATCAAACCGCTAGAGTGGTTTCCTGAAACTCCTGTACATGTTGATCCTCTGTCACAGTTGTTCTCTGGCTGTGGTTCCAGGTTCTCCACAGATGAAGGTCAGTGCTGGCAAACCTACATGTTCACCAGGGAGCCCATCTACTTTACTGGCCTCGCTTCAGAACCTGGAGCTCGGTCCATGAATATCAGCATTTGGGGTTTCACAGAATCTTTCCTGACTCGCCAATGGGTCTCCTACACCATTGATTTTAAAGATGTCCTTGAAAGGAACTGTGAGTACCTCCTTTGACGTTTTCCACCAGAAACTTATAAGCCCATTTTCCTAAATAACCAATTCAGTTTCGTTTCTTTTAGCTGGAATAAGAAAATGCACAGGTAAGAAGATTGAAGAATGTGGGTAATCAGGCAAGGAATGGTATCAGAAATGCAGTTTCCCTCTTTGGACTAGCACTGTACGAGAGAAATAAAATGAAGACCACATGTATGATTTAAATTATTCTATCCCCTGTATTATAGGAGTAAAAGAGTTGAAATCTACTTTAATAATAATACAATCGTCTCAACATATCCAAAATGTTATCATTTCAACACATAAGCAATATTAAGAGTTATCGATGAAATGTTTTGTTTTGTTTTGTTTTGTTTTGTTTTGACAGACAGCGATCACAAGTAGGCAGAGAGGGAGACAGAGAGAGGGGGGGAGAAGCAGGCTCCCTGCCGAGCAGGGAGCCCAATGTGGGGCTTGATCCCATGACCGTGGGATCATGACCTGAGCTGAAGGCAGAGGCTTTAACCCACTGAACCATACAGATGCTCCTGTTTTGTATTTTTTTTTAAATTTAATTTTATTTTTTTATTTGACAGAGAGAGAGATCACAAGTAGACAGGCAGGCAGAGAGAGAGGGGGAAGCAGGCTCCCCACTGAGCAGAGAGCCCGATGTGGGGCTCGATCCCAGGACCCCGAGATCACGACCTGAGCCGAAGGCAGTGGCTTAACCCACTGAGCCACCCAGGTGCCCCCCTGTTTTGTATTTTATATTTCTCTTCTTTTTTTTTTTTTTTTAAGATTTTATTTATTTATTTGACAGAGAGAGATCACAAGCAGGCAGAGAGGCAGGCAGAGAGAGAGGAGGAAGCAGGCTCCCTGCTGAGCAGAGAGCCCGACGCGGGGCTCGATCCCAGGACTCTGAGATCATGACCTGAGCCGAAGGCAGCGGCTTAACCCACTGAGCCACCCAGGCGCCCCTATATTTCTCTTCTAAGACTTCAAAATCCAGTGTATATTTGACACTTAGTTTTATAGTAAATCTCAATTCAGACCAGCAATAAGTGGGTAAGGCTCTCACATAGGAGAAGGTAGCTTCACACTGTTGGAGCTCTGTAACATTTTGTGGGACTTATTTCTGCTTGTAAGGATAATGCATGCTTGCATTTATCTAAAATTATTTCATGACATTTCAGGGGTTTTCACCCTTGATTGCAGCAGACCTGTAAAGAGAAAGCTTTAGAGAAAAGTGTGTTTCAAAGAGCATCTGACTGATTGTGTCCCTTACCATAACGTTGAAGTGAAGAAAAAAAAAAAAAGCAACAACAAAAAACATTCAAGTGAGAAAGTTTTCACGCAGAGTTTTGGCTTGAATGTCAGTCCCAGGCGAGGCTCTAGAATGGTGACTGGGCTAGCAATGAGCCCATGTGGGCCATTTCAGAGTTCTGTGACTTCAGGCTGGAAGGCATGTTAAAAAGGCACAGAAAATGGCTTCAGAAAAGGAGGTAAAAAGAAACCCAAGCAAACCCAGACCCCAGTACCAAAGATGCTGACATTGTACTGAAAAATATGGAAGATAAAAGAAAAAACTGGAGAAAAGTCCCCCACCCTTCGAGCTGCAGTTTCTTATTGGTGTGTTAGGATAAAAGACTTAAAGTTTCAGGGGCACCTGGGTGACTCCATCTGTAAGTGTCTGCCTTCAGTTCAGGTCATGATCTCGGGGTCCTGGGATCAAGCCCCGCATTGGGCTCCCTGCTCAGTGGGGAGCCTGCTTCTCCCTTTCCCTCTCCCCACTGCTTGTGTACTCTCTCACTCTCTCTCTGAATTAAATAAAATCTTAAAAAAAAAAAAAAAAAAAAAAAGCCTTAAGGCTTCAAGTCACTGTGGTTGAATTTTGGTCCTGTCGTTTGATTGTAGGATGGGTCCATTTCCTCCGAATGTTAGTTTAGTGACCCCTGAGCATTCTGTTCGGACCTTACTTTCTACAGGGTGTTTAAATATGATTTAATGCCCGAGAGTCATTATTTTCCAGATTCATTAAGTAGGCTGTAAAGGAGCTGGCTTATGAGTTTTCCCCTCATAAGGCGCTATGCAGTTACCCCTAAAGTTTAACACCGCTAAGAGATTTGGTAAGCAACTGCTTCGTAGCAGCCTCCATGCTGGTCTTCAGATCCCAAAGGATAAAAACCTAATCCACAGTCTTTAGGCCATAGGCTTTGAGTCATTTTTCCAGGAGTGGATGGTATGACTTACGAAGCCAGATTGACTATCCTCAATGGTCTACTTGAAAGCCAGTCAACTAGAGTAAAAAGTCTAGAAAGAGATGGTCTTCCCTTCTGTTTGATGCAAGCCAACCCATGGTAAAACTGAACCCATGCTTTAGGCTAACTGGTGTCTTGTCCTAAAAAGAACCACCTCGCTGCTTACCTGCGGCAGCTCCCGCTGACTGGGGCACAGGTGCACACAGCAGGGAGACTGCAGCCTCCCCGCCTGGAGGAAAGCTCAGAGGGGCTCCATGCAGCCGCCCACTGTGAAACAAATGCGGTTTCTCCTATTACCCAAAAGCGGGGTGAGAGGCGAAGAGCCCTCCTCTGGCGCGAGGGGATGCCAACCACTAGTAGGCACCAGGTCCTGCAACTTTTGTCTACAGCTCCAAAATGCAGCAGTAGCATGAGTCAGACATCCGCGTTTCCCTTCCTTGTTCTGCTCTCTGCCTGGCAGCCGCCTCGCGTGCGTAGGTGTGGGGCCAGGCGGTGACCTGAACAGCCTGTCTTCTCTTTAGGTGAGGAGAAGGACTATACCATATGGCTGGCTCATTCCGCAGACCCTGGAGATTACGCAGATGGCTGCATCTTGGGCTACAAGGAGCAGTACCTGCGGCTTCGCAAGTCATCCGTCTGCCAGAACGGTCGGGACTACGTTGTGACCAAGCAGCCGTCTGTCTGTCCCTGCTCCCTGGAGGACTTCCTCTGGTATCAGCTTCCCTCAGATCCCTGTTAGCCGCTTTGCTATGTGGGAGGAGGTGAGGGGCAGCTGGAAAGGATTCAGATCCTTTCTTCCCTGAGGGTGGAGAGCTGCTGCTGCTTACTGAGGAGATGGAAGCACCGAGAAGGGATCCAGAGTTGTTAGTAACGGGACAGGTGAGGTGTCACATCAGACAGTTGTTGGACAACTGGCGACAACCCCTGGAATCCTGGCCCGACAGCCCGGGAGAGAGGTGTGTAAGGAGGAAGAGAGCTCAGAAACCCAGAGAGGGGACGATAGGGCAGAGACCACCAGGAAAGGCAGTGCAGGAGCTGGGAGGGGGTTGGACTTCCGTGTGCTCACTGAACACTGACAGCCCGAGATTAGCAGGTGGGGTGCTAGGTTTTGGATTGTCTGCAAAACTGAAGGCAGCGAGTGTGGTTCTGTCCTGAGACAGGAGGGGATGTCAGGGTACTGATGGCCCAGATGTCCCATCAAGGTCTAAAAGCCATCGAGGTAGACTCCCGTGAGCTCAGGACCATCTGTGCTGAAGGGTCAGTGGCACGGCCAGCATGGGGTTAGTTGATTGTCTAAGGGCAAGGCAGTCCCCAGGTCACCAAGCAGGGGTACTGCTTCCCGAACTCATTTCCTTTTCAAATCATAGTGGCAGGAAATAAAGGTGAATCCTGGAAGATCTGGAAAAGAGTGCAGACAGACAGCAGTCATGTCCCTCCCACATCACATTCTCTAGAACTGCAGGTGACCAAGAATACGGGACTGAGCAAACCTCCCAGTCTGACCGGTGTAGACCCCCTGCCCCGGTGCGGCTCCCATCTGCACATGGAACGGGCCAGGGGTGCTCCTTCTGTGTTTCCACAAGGAACGGGATCTCTCCCATGGCTGTGGTGTCAGTCTAGGGCTAGAGCATGTTGACTGTGACACTCTCATGGGCTGCCTTCATCCTAGAACGTACACAGACTGGGATCTTAACTCCCAGCCTTCTTTCCAGATCTGCTGTGCCTCATCAGAGCTGCGTGCCATTGTCCATGGGGCTTCCTCTGGCCGGGAAGTCTCCCCACATTGCCTGCTTGCCCCCCAGGCTTAGGGGATGCCTACTTGGCCTTTAGAACTTTGCTTACTTCTCTCCTCCACAAAGCCTTCCCCGGCTTTCCCTCATCTGCACTCCTACAGGACACCTGCTGCTGGGTTTTGGTTGTCAGAGAGAGGTTTGGGTCTGCCTTCAAACTCTCAGCTCCTTGAGGGTGTTATGTTTGATAAGCATGGAGTAGTCAGCACAGCCCCTGGCACTTACCGAACACTGACTCTGTAGCAGGCACTGTCCCAAGCCATTTGCATTTACCCCCAGCAGCCCTCTGAGATAGGGACCATTGCCATTTCCGTCTCACCAAGGGAGAAATGAAGGTTCAGAGAGGGCGTCACTGCCTTGCCCACAGCGGCTCAGCCAGAAGTGGTAGAGCTGGAATGTGCGCCCAGCAGCTCGGCCCTGGAGCCTGCACCTGTCCCGCCCGTGCTTGAGAAGTGTGTGACTGTGAGGACAAAGGGCGCTTTCCCTGACATGTGGGATTGCACACCTAAAATTCTCACCATAACTCTCCCCCTGTCGGAGGGGTAGTATCTTCGACTTCTTTTGTTCTTCTTACCCTGCTCCTTAAATATTTGTCAGCAACCTTGAAGTACCAGCAGCATCCGTGTACCCCCCGAGCATCTGTTGCATCCTTGCTGTGCACAGGGCGGTGCAAAGTGACAATGAAAAGTTTGTTATTGACGCTCAGATGCACAGGATTATGCAGTGAAACAGTGCCTGCGGGGTTGAGAGAAGGGAAAGGCCATTCCATCTAGAGCTGAAGGGAGGTGGCTCAGAGAAGGCTTTGTTGAGGAGGAACATTTGAGCTGAGCCCTGACAAGCGCTAGGACTTGACTTTGCACATCTGGGAAGAAACAGTCGTTAAAGCCAGTGGAGTGGTGCGAGGGAAGGGTGTGCTGGGAGATAGGCCATGAGGGCAAGTCGCAGCCGTCCTGATAAAGAAACATGGGAGGGTGCAGATGGGGCAGGCCCAGGCTGAATTTGCAACTTAGATAATGGAAGGAAGGTAGTGCCGTGGACAAACACAGGGAAATGGTGGGAGAGACTGGCTCGAAGGAGAGGACATGATGTGTATTGAATGCTCTATTTTTTTGAGGTTCTGTCAGCAGATTTAGGTGGTGACGTCCAGCAGGAACTTGGAAATGTAGGATCACAGGTCAAGAGAGGTAAAACCTGGAAGTTTTAGCTGCAACAAACAGTTAAGCTCACAAAGGTAGAGCAGATACGGCGTAAGAGAATGAATTGCAGACCTCAGGCAAGGGTCTGCGTTTCCTGGTTAGGAAGGCAGAGGCATAAACCGTGCAGAGAGAAGCAGGTGAGCCAGCTTTGCGGGGGCGTGGGCAGACGTGGGCAGCACATGGGGGTGGCGCGGGGCAGGCCAGACCGGAGAAGGCTCCCCAAGGTTGCCAGACTTGTGCATCCTGGGGGCCTCAGACATTTGCCTCCAAGGTAGTAGGGGGGATTGAAGCCAAAATGCACAGGATAAAAAGTGAACAAGTACGAAATACTCGTTTAAGAAGTTTGGCCAATAAAGAAGAAGAGAGGGAAGGAAGATGATACACACAGGTAAGGAGAAGCCCCCAGGTGAGGGGGCCTGATGGTCCCTCCACATGGTCAGCCAAGCAAGGTCCCAGGGCAGTTGGAGGGATGGAGCATGGATACTTATGCGGGGGATCAGCCTTGGAGAGGAGGCAGTATATTACTTCTTGGGGGAAGCAGAGAGACCAGAGCAGATGGGAAGCACTGTGGAGAGATGGGATAGGATGAAAGGCAGGCAGGCATCCACATTGGAGACAAGGATCCTAAGAAGCTAAGAGGGACAGAAATGGGGCAGGCAGGCAGGATTTGATACACACCCTGGGGTACACACCCAGAGAACATAATGAGTGATTTGGAGGTAAATAAAACGGTAACTAAGCATCGTGGTTTTAGATCTGTTGCTGGTGCCACTGTTTCTTAGTGTCTGAGTTCTCAAGTGAGTTCCCACCCTGCTGCAGGCAGTCCCTTCCCGGAGCTGCTGCTGTCTGGGCCAGGCTTCTAGCTACCGAGTCCCAAGTGCACCAGGCCTGCTCCATGAGCTGCTGGTCCCCCAGCTGAGCATTCTCCATGTCTGTCCTCCTCAGTGGGCCTTCCTCACAGGTGGCAGGGCTGCTCCCATGCAGCCACAGACTGGGCTGTCCATCCGCCTGCGCCACATAAAACCTTCATCGACGGTCCCCTCACTGCCGTTCCGCAGCTCTGAAACATACTGTATTTGTGGACTCTTACAGTGATTTTGGCTACTTCCGTCCAGAAAATGACTCCAAATGTGTGGAACAGCCAGAGCTAAAGGGCCACGATCTGGAATTTTGTCTGTATGGCAGAGAGGAGCACCTGACAACAAATGGGTGAGGCGCCTCCCCTCCTGAGTCGTGACAGCCGTGTCCCTGCCGTGCAGAGGGAGCCCCCACTCACCACGCCCTGCACCTCCATGCAGGCAGTGTTCTAGAGCATGCTAGGAAAATACTGTGGAACAGAACTTTCTGTGGCGCTGGAAATGCCCTCTCGTCTGCTGTGTCCCATACGGTAGCCATTAGCCCTGTGTAGCAACTGAACTAATTTTACTTAGTTTAAGTGTAAGTAGCCACTGTGTGGGGGTAGTGCTGCCCCAGAGGAGACACAGTACTTCCCCCACAGTACATACGCCCCCCTCCCATTTTTGTACGGTGTGTTACTGTGCTTTCCTTGGGCCATGGTTCTTTGGCCCCATCTCGTGGCCCAGAGAGGCAGGCATGCCTCCGCAGGAAGGCCAGGGATACTTGGGCTGTTCAGGGCCTGAGACTACACAGAACATCCCCAAAACATTCCCGAGGCTCTCCCCTCAGGCCTGAAAGGGGGTGGAAGTTTGAGAAGCTTTTCTGCAGATTTTTCAAATCTTGCTTTCAGGAACGAGGAATACATCCTAATGGTCTGACAAGAAATTGTCTGTGCTTTTTCAGGTACCGAAAAATTCCAGGAGACAGATGCCAAGGTGGCGTGAATCCAGTCCGAGAAGTAAAAGACTTGAAAAAGAAATGCACAAGCAACTTCCTGAGTCCTGAAAAGCAGGTACAGTAAAGTAGATCTGGTTTAGGGACCAGTGGGCTTTTGTGTTCTGCCAGAAACAAAGCGACAGCACTGAGAATTTTATGACTGAATACAAAGAGGCCGGACTACTTCAGGCGGCCTGCACTGTGCACAGGAGACCATTAGGATGGAGGATGGGTCACACAGCATGATAAACTCCATGCTAAAAACTTTATCGTTGGAGGAACAAAGTAGAATTCCATACAATTCTGAATTCTTGGGAGCATCAGGTTGAGGACATTTCTGGGGGCTGAGAGTCATTTAGGGAAAATACTTGAAGTCGGGCTGTAAAGGGCAGGAAGAGAGGAGCCCTGGCCCTCATTTAGGTGGGCTCTGTGCTGAGTAATGCCGAGTGTGCTCAGACTAGACAACTGAACTTCGGTACTAATGGGTTTGTGATGTAGGAGCGGGTTATGAGACAGATTACAGCTCTGTGGTGCTGAACCGTCTGGCTAGGATGTGGGAAGTGCTAAAGAGGAAGCCTTTTGATAAAGAAACACTGGACCAGCAGTGTGACTGGGGCAGTCAGCTGTGGGCCCCAGTTCCCTAATCCATAAAATGGGAGATAGACAATCCGCAGTCCCCTCCTCTCTGGCCTTCTGAGGGATGAGGGCCTGACACGGGCAGGATTAGGTAGGTAGCAGGAGCAGAATGTGGGTGTGTGTCTTTGTCAGGGGGCAAGTTCCCTCTTCTCTGCACCCTCACCCTGCATCCCTAGTAGCTATCCTCAGTGTGTGTGTGTGTGATTGGACAGGACTCCCGCCCCCAGAGACACAACGTGTCCCAGAATCCAGTTCCGCCACCTCTTGGATTCACTGAAAACACACGTTCCCTATCTCCCACCCTGAAACAGGTAGGGCCCACTCCAGCAATAATATGAAAAGGCTTATTTGCAGAAACATACCAAAAATGAAGTAAAAACAAGAGTCTTCATGTTACACGATGTCCTGCCTGAGGCAGCATGGGCACAGCTTCTTCCCAGGGACTGGCCATGTTCCACATTTATCTGGCCCACTGTTGTCATTCTCCCCCTTTCCCACTGTGCCCCGAAGTGCTCCACCCCTCCACATGGCTAGTGGGGAACAGCCTCAGTTGCTCTTTGACCTAGGTCATTGCCATAGTTCCCAGAGTAACTCGGATATTAGAGCCTGAGTTTGGACCATTCTGGCAGCTTCCGGGCAGCCGAAGTTCTGGTTCCCCTCTGCCATCAGTGATGCACTCCTGGTAGGGTTGAGACAGTCCGGCGGGGGCGGGGGCGGGGAAAGCACAAAGGGCCTGGAGACTGCAGGTCATTCACAGAGAAACCAGGGGAAGGAGCAGCCTCATTGAGTTCAGTCCTAGCATGTGCACACCTGAAATTGTCTGTGTTTTAATTTGTCAAGAACTCCAAGTCAAATTCTGTTCCAATCATCCTGGCCACCGTGGGATTGATGCTGGTCACAGTCGTAGCAGGGGTGCTCATTGTGAAGAAGTACGTCTGTGGGGGAAGGTAAGGAGCATGGCAGTCAGCCAGAGGTACCAAACTCCAGCTGCAGAGGCAGCCCAGGGCGTGTGGTTGAGCCGGCCCCTGGCGAAAACTGGCCAATGGTAGTGGTGTTCCTGAATCATCAGGCCCAGACCTTCTCAGAGCTTCTGTCTGCCACATGCCGACTGTGGGCTGTGCCTCCCGTGTGTGTGACTCGTGCTGTGAGTGTGTAGAACTCAGAAAGTCCGCAGGCCTGTGAGAGGCATGTCTCCTGTCCCATGTCCCCATGTCACATGTCACCATGGGACAGCTCACGGAGGTCTCCACCCCCAGGTTCCTGGTGCACCGCTATTCCGTGCTGCAGCAGCATGCTGAGGCCAATGGCGTGGATGGCGTGGATGCCCTGGACACGGCCTCCCACACTCACAAGAGTGGTTATCATGATGACTCAGATGAGGTAAGACTTCTTGACGGGTGGCCTGGAAGCACAAGAAAGGGGTGTTCCTGTTCCTTTCAAAATCAGAATCCAACTGAGGCAGAGGGGGCGCGTAAGCCAGCAGCAGCCACTTAATGCCTGTAAGACTTGGCCAGCCCAGAAACTAGGTTAGAACTTTCAAAATAGAAAATTTTTTTTTTTTAAGATTTTATTTATTTGACAGAGAGAGACACAGCAAGAGAGGGAACACAAGCAGAGGGAGTGGGAGAGGGAGAAACAGGCTTTCCCACCGAGCAGGGAGCCTGATCTGGGGCTCGATCCCAGAATCCTAGGATCATGACCTGAACCGAAGGGAGCCGCTTAATGACTGAGCCACCCAGGTGCCCCTCAAAATAGGAATTTTTTAGTGTGCAAATAATATAGTCTCTGTTTCTCTTCTCAGGACCTCCTGGAATAGCTCTTCAAAGTGGCTGGGACCGAGCACAGATGATGGAACCGCAGTACCTCTCACACGCCCTGTGGCTCCGACTTGGGGGAAATAAATTTCCCATTGCAAGGGACCCAGCTCTGTTTCTGCTGCTTCCACCAAAGCCAAAAGGACCTGCGCTAAAGAAATGTGGGCGGGTGGGGACCCGAAACACTCTCACGATTGGCTCTGAGAAGGGGGGGAATCTAAATTCTTTAATTTTTTATTTCAAGTTCTGTCTTTTTGCAAAGTATGGGTTCTTTTGGTTTTGTTTCTGTTTGGTAAGGGAAATGGGATTGGAAGGGAATGTTTCACTAACCCCCCTCTTGCATGTTTTGCATGGCGCCTGCCCCCAGGCACCTGCCAGCCCCGGCATCAACCATCACCAAGTACTCGGTGCTGTCCCCGGGCTCTGCCGGTGACACGGAGCAGCTGCTGAGAGGGACTCGGGGGCTGCGATGACTGGCACGGCCTGGCGGCCTTTCCCCGGCCAGGGACAGCCCCACCCCGAGAGTGCTGCACACCAGCTCCTCACACACACCCCGCCTTTGCTTGCTTGCTCTTTTGGGGACCATGGACCACAGTGGTGTCTCTTCCCCCCACCCCATTTAATTAGGCAGTACCCTCGTTAATTGCCCTTTGGCAACTGACTTAACCATGTGCTTCCAAGACACTAAATCAGGAAAACTTAAAGGGCAATATTTTTAACTTGGGGCAGGAAGAAGGGAGCAGCAGGGAATTGACTAGGGTTAGCACCTATTAAAGGACAAATTCTTGCTTCTTCCAAGATCTTTCCAGCCGTGCTTCGTGTCTGTGCCTGTGAACTTGCTCAAGGACAGGGTGAGGGCTTGCCCTGGATATCTGTCCAGGCTGTGGGGTCTCTCCGCTGGAGCCGAGGGAGGGTGCCCGGGGTGGCCCCTGAGGACTGAACATCACAGTCCTCCGTGTCCTCTGCCACCTGTGGGCACAGTGGTGAATCCTTAGGATGGCTACTTGCTTGCTTCCTCTTGGACTGCTGTTGTACATGGAGCCAGGACTAGACATGTTTTCAGATTTATAAACTATTTTTTTTTTAAAAATCAAGATTTTATTACCAGGCTCTCTTCCTCACCTATTTTCTCCAGCTTTGCCAACTAATTTGTTGGCATGAAACTTCTGGCCGAACCAACCGAAAACACATGTGTAGTGTAGGTGATGTTTTACCTGATGCGTTAAGTTCGTATTTTAAATTTAAGGAAGTTTTCCACTGGACATTTTTTCAGATCAAGTTAACGGTAGAATGTGGTGAGGTGGAGTTTTGGGTGGCCACACAGTAATGGAAAGCTGCAATAATTCGTTTTAATAGAGCTTGAATATTTGCTCTCCAGGTATATAGTATAGTACATTTTTGGTCTTAGTGTCCCTACTGTGCTGGCCACAGTTTCTCCCAGTAATTACGGTTGGGACATTCTTTGGTAACTGCCATTTTGCTGCTAGTTCATTTTATGGTGATAAAGTCACGAAAAAGTAGACGTGCCAAATCAACTTTTGTCAGAATGCGTGAGCAGATGGCTGTGTTCTCTCCTCCCCAGAATGGATTAACAGCAGCAGGGAAAGTGGGAGAGGGGGTGGATGGAGAAGGTTAGAGACTTTGAAGCTGCAGCAGAACTAAATGAGTCAGGGAGCTTCAGTTGGGAGATAAAGCTAGGGCATTTTTTGTGAAGAGAATTCGTATTTGTTTGAGCCATAGAGCACTGGTCTTTTAGGAAAAGCTCATTCATTTTGCATAGTTTTTAAATTAAAAAAAAAATCCAAAGATAGACCAGGTCACAAATGATAACGTGTCAGTCTTTCTCCTGGACACACTCACCTCCTGCCCAAAGTGATTCTGATGCCCAGAAAAGACCCACTCCTGCCGCACACCTTCTCCCTGCAGCTTATACTCGCCTGGGCAGATGTGTGCGTATGTGGTAATTCTCTGATTTATTTTAGGATGTAGGAAAGTTTATCTTCTTCCTTAACCAAATAAGGTTAGAGATCTGGGACTTCTGTAGAACTTGGCAATTTTCAGAGCACTTTGACTTGGCATTGTGTCATTGGAAACTTAGAACATTCTCGATGAGACTTTCTCTTTGAAGGCCAGGGGTTTGTCTCCCCATTTTTCAGGAGACGGAGCTGAGGTACAAAAAGTGAGTAAATTGTCCAGGGTCTCTGTGTGCATGGCAAGCAGTGCCGGTCGGTTGTCTTTAGAGCTTTTGACGTTTTTATGTGTGCAGGGGCTGCGTGCCCAGGGCGTGCAGGGTTCCTGCATACAGTCGCCTCTCTGTCCTTCAGGAGAGGGATGGGTGGCATCTCTGTGGGAGCAGTGTCGTTCCTTTTTGCCACTGTGAGAGAAAATTTTTTTCTCCTGTTTTACATGGCTGAAAAACAAAAATTAATGGTAATTTTGAATGTGTGTTTAGAAACTGCCCCTCATCTAGATGCAGGTGTGAGCTGTCCCTTGATGAACTACCTTCTCCCTCTCCTTGTTTTCTCATCCTCATCTGGCTGGCTGGCTAGCTCGGTTGTTTGGAGGACTGCTAACAAGCCTGGCTCACCCCCTTCACTGGCTAGTTAGCTTCCCATCTCAGCCTGCTCACTCACAAAGGTATGCCCTCAGCCAGCATTTGTTCTACTGATGTTAGGTTAGGAGCATTATCTTTGAAAGTAAAGTGTAGCTTATCATTGTATAAAATCTCGGGCTTGATGGTAGCAGAAGAGATGATTTCTGGAGGTTTCAGCGATAGGGTTGAGCACCGTAAGAAAGGTTGGACACATCAGACTGTCTACAGTGGTCTGAGCTTTTAAGTCCGGGTGGAGAACTCACCATCCCTCACCTGTGATCAGCACCGTGGCCCTAAGAGGGCTTTGGGTTGGTGACTCTAGAGGCCAAGGGTGCGTGCACCTGAGCTGGTATTTGAATAGGGATCCCACTTAGGAGAAGAAAAAAGTCTGGAGAGTTCTGGCAGTTCTAAGCTGGGCTCAGAAGATTCAGTAGATGAGCTATAACTGAAATTTAGAACTTGCTGTCTGCCTCTGAGTAGGCTTTCCAGTGGGTACCTCTCTAATTCCTAGGTTTGCCTCTGGGCCTCTCCATGTCCAAGCTGGCCTTTCATCCATGACACAGTAGTAACAGGCTGGCCGCCTCCAGCCCTTGCACTGGCTCTCTACACTGCAGCTGGTTCTCCCATGGCCTGGGTCACAGGACCAGGATACAGAGGGGAGTGCGGAGCTGTCCACACCCACCCCAGGTGGCAGGGCTGGCCGGAGTTTCAGTCCGTTCTCTCTGTTCGAGGCCAGTCCTCCAAGTAGAGAGGTCCTGTTTCCCTTCAGGAGGCTCTAAGAACCCTGCCTCCACACGCAGAGGTTGTGGAGCTCTCCCTGCTTGTTGTTGGTATTTCCCCCTCGCCCCATCTGAAGCCCGGATGCTTGGAACTGCTAAAGTCAGAGCTTCAGCTTTTCGACTTTGCTACTACCTGGCCTCAAGCAGGGAGGTAAAAAGGGACTTAAATGCCCTTTGAACAAAACCAAAGTGTAAGACATGCCGCATGACGGAGTACTAGGGAGGGCCAGACCTTCAGCGCTGGCCTTCAGCAGGGGCCAGACATTCGGTTTCATCTGCCACCCGTGTACCCAGCGGCTCTGGGAGCACCGTCCTGTCTGAGCAGAGCCGGGCCTTGCCCTCGCGGAGGCTGACCGACACGGCAGGAGTATGTTGGTTCCTTGGTTATGTTGCATTATAACAATAAGAGTCACAACATTAATTTGAAACTGTCTTCAACAACTGGCTGTATGCATTTTTTCACACCAGTACATTCTTAAGCATCCTCGTTTATATAGAATAACATAAACTAATCTGTACCTTTATATATATATGTACATATATACATGTATAAACTGTATAGTGTACATGTTAATGATTTATTGATATGTCCCAGATCTTTCATGCAGTTCTCATCCTCTGCATGCCCTCAGTTTGCGGTCGGGTGACTTGAATGTTCCTCGATGATCCTGCCCACCTCCCGTGTTTGGACGTCTAGGGAAGGAGGGTTTTGGTCGTACCCTTCTTGTCCTCATGCACAGAAATGCTCAGGGTCCCCACGTGCCTGTTGTTCAACCCTCTCTTGTGTCTCGTTCCCTTTCTGAGCATGTGGTCCCTCCCTGTCCTGTAACTTCTCTGCCCCCATCCCCAGCTGTGGGACAGCTGCCTTCCTACTAAAGTGTAAAGCAGTATTAACATCATTACTGCATGTGCGCTAAAAACCCAAGTCTTCTGTTCCCTTGGGACAGAAAATTGCATGTGGGGTGGGATAATCAAGTTTCAGTGACCCATGTCAGTTACCCAACAAAGCCAGACCCCATAGCAAAATTCCACAAAATGGAAATCAAACTTAAATTTCTTTATTAGCATTGTGTAAATAAATCTGGATGTGTTTAACTTTGTACTGGTAATTTTCTGTATATTTGCAATATTTGGGTTAGAAATAAAACAGACTGGACTTTGTTACCTGACCTATGGAAATGACTAAGCTACAGTTTGTTACCATGATTTCCCAGTTTTCTAGCTTCAGAAATCAAACTCCAGCAACCGGAGAATAAACCAGGTAAAGAGCCAGGCCTGCATTGGTAGCGTGAGAGGTACTAGGTAAGTTGTGGGGGAAAAATTTAGTTTTTCTTGTCCTTTGTGCCCCTTAACTACCTCCCATGGGTATTTGTAGGACCAGCTTTCCCATTCTTACTCCATATGCCCTCTCAGGGTGCGACTGCTAACCACTTCCTTCTGGATAGACGGCAGAGAATGACTGTCCCAAATTAGCTGTTCCCTTCAGGCAGGTTTGACAAATGACAATACTGGAAGCTTAAGTTCAGTACTTCCCAGTGGCCTCTCTCAAATTTCTCTTGCTGCTCTTGCTCATAGTCCTGCCTGATTCATTTCATTTAAGGACCTTTCAAAGAGTTGCAGCTTTCCTTGCTCCCCAAGTATTTCTTTTAGGAGAAGTTCCTGTCCACCTCCCTTGAGACTTTAGCCCAGCCTTGAAGACTGCGTCTGAGCCTGCCATCCTGGGTGACATTTCCAATGGATACTTACTCTGACACCATGATCTGAAGATGACGAGGCAGAAGACCTTCCTGTGAAGGAGCCGGCTATCTGGTGGAGGAGTTCCTCCCCTGGGAGATGGTGTATGGTAGTTTTATTTTCAGGAAGTCTAGCTAAGCTAGTGTCCAAAGTCTTCCCGCACCAGAGTCACTAGATTGCTTTTTCTTTTCTTTTTTCTTTTTTAAGATTTTATTTATTTATTTGACAGAATAAGAGAGAGATCACAAGTAGGCAGAGAGGCAGGCAGAGAGAGAGGGGGCAGTAGGCTCCCCACTGAGCAGGGAGCCAGTTGCAGGGCTCATCCCAGGACTCTGAGATCATGACCTGAGCTGAGCGCAGAGGCTTAACCCACTGAGCCAACCAGGCACCCCTAGGTTGCTTTTTCAAATGCAGATTCCTCAACCCCACCCAGACCCATTAAATTAGACTGTAATGGACAAACCCTAGGAGTCTACATTTTTAACTTGATTCTTTTACACCTTTATTGCAACAAAGGGCTCAGGCTGAAAGTCTAGGCCAATTTCATACCACCTGGTATGGGGACTCTGTATTTATAAGGGCTTTGGCTAGAGAAATCTAGGCCCCACGTGACAGGAGCAGCCTCAGAGGTCAAGCTCTGTAGCTCCGTCTCCGCCATCCCAGCTCCTGAGGAATAGGTTCCTGGGCCAGAAGTGCGTCTGCAGGCTGTTCTGGCCCTTGGCCCCAATACAAGCTGCAAAGAGTAGCAAAGGCTCCTGGGAAAGTATCGCTCTGCCTCCAAATTGAGGGCTAAAGGGAAAAATGAGTGTAAAGAGCCCATTCATTCAACTACACTCTTTTTTTTTTTTCCCCATAAAAGAAAAGGCTGGTGGAAGGAGGTGGGGATATGTGGGAACTCTGTACTTTCCATTCAACTTTACTGGGAACCTACAGCTGCTCTAAAAAGTAATGTGTACACACAGACACACACACGGGGATGCTGCTTTCTAGAGCTAGTAAAGCAGGGGTGTGATAGGAAACCGTTTGGATGTGGTGGACAGGACATGAGGAATGGTGACTTGGTAAGCCTAGACATCACACAGAACCTTCCTTTCACTTTCACTGTTTTCTCTTCAACATGGTCACGGTGTCAGCATTTCTGGTCTCAGAGCCCAGGGCCCTGCAGTTCAGAGTTCGTGATCTGCCCAGGGTCACCTAGATCCTGAGCGAGTGGCACAGCCAGAAGTGACACCCACACCCTCCGGCCTCTCGGCCCTGGCTCCCCTCCACCGTGGCTGCCTCTCACTCCGCCGGTGCTTTATCTCCGAGGCAAGGGAGCACTCAGAGGGCCACATGTCGACCTCACCTAAGAATAGCTCACATTTATGGAGCACTTAGTCAGCCACATTCTGCTAAGCACTTTACACAGATTGCCTCTTATAATCCTCAAAACAACCCTGTGGTCCTTATCCTCTCCGTTTTGCAGGTGAGGAAGCAGACCTAAGAGACAGTGACATGTGGCCAGTCACACAAGCTAGCTGGTGATGGAGCCAAAGGTGAGGCCAGCTGGTCTGGCTCCAGAGCGGACTCGGCCTCCTCCCACTACCACTAGGCGGTTAGGCGGAAGGGATGGGGACAGACCCCATAAAGGGCAAGTTGGTAAGAATTTAGAGCTCGCCGACTGTGGAGCTGAGAGAGTAGGAGCCCTTAAAGGTGTGCCTGCGAACCCGCTAAGCCTGCTAAGCCCGGCCCCCATTGTGCAGATCTGTGAGGGCAGTCAGGGGAGCTGTTTGAAGCTCAAGCCTCCCCGCCCTCCCCAGTGCTGTGCGAGGGCTGTCACCTCAGGCCTCCTGCGGCTATTCTGGGCTGCTGTCTGATCTCCCTGTCTTCCCCAGTCCCTGCTTCAGCCCTTCTGCTGAGAGTAGCTGGGTGGGAGAAGGCCAGGCCAATTACATAAGCCCGTGGCTGGGACCCTGGGAGGCCAGGCTGGAGAGCAGGTGCTTAGCCCCTCCCTCACCACCAACCGTGAAAATCTCCCGCTGGAGCCCAGCCTTGGGGTGGCCCAGCATGGAGGCAGTCACAGCTCTGGAGGTGCCCTCGGGATCCACACTGAAGGTGAAAGAAACGCACACCGCTGATGCTGAAGGACCCCCCGCTTCATCTCGACAAGAGTCCAGCAGCCCCATTCCCCAGCTCCTGCCCCGTATAGAAGGTGACCCATGGGGTTGGGAAGGGTGGGGCCGCTGGGTCAGTAAGAGTTGGGGAGGTCTCCCTAACACCCAGCTGCACCTCCTTAGCTTTGTGCAGAGGTGAACGGCTTCATGGGACAGGTACCCAGGATGGAGGAGCACTGGTTGGAACCCCCACCCCTTTCCTTGGTGGATTCTTATTTGCTGCTCAAGTGTCTGCTGGGTTTGTGCTTTTTGAGTGAGAAGTCAGTGAGTGGTATTTGCAGCCCTTTACAGTGACTAAAGATGATCTGTTTATGTTTGTACTTGTAATAAAATGTCCCAGAGACTGAGGACCTGGTATACTAATACCAGCCAGGAAGGGAATGAGGGGTGAGATGGTGGCCGTCTGGATTGGGGGGCGGCAATGAAAGGTTTCTAGCAACTGAGAGACTGGGCAGTAAACAAATAGTGCAGGATGCTCTGCCTGTCACCTGGCAGTGCCATGGGTCGAGGAGCTACACTAACGCTCCAGCTGGCTCCCAGGGAAATCCCCAGCCTCCTGGGGTCTGAGCTCCATGGAAGAAGAGCCCATCCAGGAGAAGTATTGGCCTCCCTTCCACAGTATTCTCTGTGAGCCTCTAAGCAAAGAGGTACTTTTGAGCCAGGAGGTGGTGGGTGGCCCTTCTAGTCCTGGGTATCCCTGCCAGCGGCCCCGCCACCCATTCCCCAGCTCCCCCTGGCTGAGGCCTCTGCAGCTCACAGCTCTGTGAGCTCTGTGATGTTCACTTGGGGTGTCGCCCATTGGGCCTGGCTTAGCTGGCCAGACATGGAAGGCAGGAGCCAGGCTTTTTCCTTCTGTGCATTAACCGGCAGGAGGGACCATGGGCACCTTACACATTTAAGACAGTTACCTGCACTAAGTCCCTACTTTGGGCCTCTCGACATCTTGAGTGCAGGGGATGGGAAGACTGCAAACAAGAAGCTCATGGAACCCCAGGGTAGGGGGAAGTAGGAGAAGACGACGTGATCTAGACTCTGTCCAGTGCCACCTCGGGCAGTCCTGTGCCCTTGGACAAGCCAACCAACTGCTCAGTTTCAATTTCCTCTCTGTAAAATGGTAATTAACAATATCTACCTAGTAGGGCAGCTGAAAGGATTATGGAGATGATCCGAAGTGCCTCAGAAGAGGCAAACTAAGATGTGAATAGATAATAAGGTATTTCCAAGTCAGGAGTGAAGACTAAGAGTTCTACCTGCAAATGGGGTTGACTAGGGGAAGCTGGCTACCTCCTGTCATCCTTATGGGAGACGCTGGGTTTTCGGGAGCTGTTTAGATGTCACAGGCAGAGAGCTGGCTGAGTTTGCTCCATGGAAAAGGAGGTCGAGGGAGCAGAAGTTACTGTGAGCATTGAGCCTGGGATAGTCTTTTTTTTTTTTTTTAAGATTTTATTTATTTACTTAAGAGAGAGAGAGAGCATGAGAGAGGAGAAGGTCAGAAGGAGAAGCAGCCTCCCCGCAGAGCTGGGAGCCCGATGTGGGGCTCTATCCCAGGACTCCAGGATCATGACCTGAGCCGAAGGTAGTGGTTTAACCCACTGAGCCACCCAGGCGCCCCGAGGCTGGGATAGTCTTGAGACAGCAAGCCAGTGTTTTCCTAAAAAGGTCCAAGGAATAAGCCACAGAGAGAATGAGAGCTGGGACTGCTGACTCCGGACTTGGCAGGTCTCCCTAAGGCCCTGGCAGACAGCATCCAACCCACCCACACTCCTCCCTCTGCTGTGAGTAGATGCTGTGGGCTGCGGTCTCCTGACAGCCCCTGGCCATCTCCAACAAGTGCAGCCTCAAGAGCCCCAGGCCTCAGGGCCACCAGCGCCAGCAGCTCAACTCATTAGCTTCCCAGAGGTCAGGGGTAGTAGGCACTGCTTGTGATAGTTTGCAAAGTATGTTTGATTCTGTTATCTGCTTAGGGAACACATGAGTTCAAATCCCAGCTCTGTACTGTGACCCTAGGCAAGTCAGTGAGTGCCCTTCTCTAGGCTTCCATTTTCTCATCTGTAAATTGAAGTGTAACCTTTTGATGGCTATGGACACCTAGGAAATTCTGACAACATCTGTGGAAGCTTATTCCAGGAAAAATACTCAAAAAAATTTCAGGGAACTCACAGAATCCCTGAAGCCCATTCGAAAGTCCTTCAGGGTACCATGGACCTGGCCTAGATGGTCCCTAAATTCCCGTGAGCGCCAAGGCCTTTTTTTCTCCTTCTAACACCTCCTCTATTTTATGCGGAGCACTGCGGGACCCAGAGAGGCCCTGTGGTAGGCATGGGAAACAGAATAGGCACCAGAAGCAGAAATTCATTTGCAACATCAAATTAGCCTGCAACTGTCTAACACTGAACTTTTAGTCAAGAAAGCCTGCTCTGTGGCTAAATAGGCAAAAGTAGGCAGCCGGCACTGGGAAACAATTTCCGTCTGCCTTCAGCACTACATGGAGGCACTGGGGCCTGGAGGCAGCACCTCCAGGTGGGAGGTGGGGGACAGGTTGCTCCCCCGCTGAGGAGGAGAGGAGGCTCTGAGACCCAGAGGAAGGGCCCATCTGCTGATTTCAGAATAACTGTATCTCCTTTCAATCTGAATTGTTTTGTCTTCCAGGCTTGGGAAACTGGATCCCATGCCTCGGAGCAACCTTCCTTCCTTTTCTCCTTCTTCCCTCCCTCCTTACTTTCCTATCCTCTTTCTTCCTTCTACAAATATTTCTTTTATGATTATTATGTGCCTGGCACTGTTACAGAAATTAACAAAATAGGCAAAAATAACGCCCCTTGTAGAGGTTCCATTCTAGTGTAAGGAGATAGACAATAAATAAACAAGTAAGATATATAATATGTCAGAAATGGGCCAAAAAATGGAGCAGAGGAGGATAGAAAGTGCTGGGGGTAGGAAACTTGTTTGCTATTTTAAACAGGATATTCAGTGAAGGTCTCATTTAAAAAGTACTATTTGAGTGGCAACTTAAAGGAGATGAGAGAACAATGCATGCAGATATTTGAGGGGAATGTTTTCTGTGTAGAGAAAATAGTCAGTGCAAAGGCCCTGAGGCAGGAGTGTGCCCTATGGATGGGGGCCACTGTGCCTGTAGCAGCTTGAGAGAGAGAATGATAGGTTTGGGGGCAGAGAGGTAGCAATACCAGTGTGAAGACTGACTCAACACTGAGACTGATGGGGCAGCCTGGGCAGGGTTTTAAGTGAGAACTGACATGACCAGGTATAGGTTTTAAGGCTTATTCTGAATGCTGAGTTAAGCATAGGCTATAGGCAGGCCTGAGACACTAGCAAGGTCATCAACTAAGGATGAGGATGAGGGAGAAGGTATGGGGCTTTTAGAAGAGGAAGGTATGCAGCAGTCACCGAAGAGAAGAGGAGGCTGAGTGGGAAGTCTGGAAGGATAGCAAGGGGGCTATTGGGAGTTAGTGGTCAGTGTTAGTGGCTCACAGTCAGCCTCTCTTGTATTTTTCCTCAGTGTGTAGATGCGGGCACTGAGTGGCTGGAAAGCATTTAACTGGGGTTGGCCATGGCGAGGAGAGTGCAGTGGAGTACCAGAGGATTAAGGGAGCTGAGTGGGTACACAAGGGAGTGAGTATAAGGACTGGACTGTAAGTTGGGTAGGAAAGAGCATGGTAACCAAGAGGGTGACGGGGAGTGCAGGAGTGGGAAGGTGTGGGTCAGAGGTCTCAGTGGTGCCGCAGGATCTGGTGCCAGAGAGCAGATCTCTAGCAGTGGAGACCGCGCTCGTCAGGAAATGCCTGTCGATGTAACAAATAGGCCTCAGAACTGAAGTTACCAAAACAATAGATGTTTATTTCTATTTATTTCTATTAAAAAGTTTCTCTATTTCTATTAAAAATAGTTCTGCATGCAATAATTTCAGCCCCCAGGCCTCTTCCCTCTTGTGGCTCTGCCACAAATCTCCTCAGACTAGTGTTACTCTTTTATGTCCTTCTGGTTTTTTTCTGACCTTAGTTTCACAGTCTTCAAGAAGCTGACACTCTTGTCCTTCACAAGGTGCTTCAGAGTTCACTTTTCCTATGACACTACTCCAGACAAGTTTCTTTTCTTCTTTTAAAAAACTTTTTTAGGATTTATTTTTGTGAGAACAAGAGAGAGAGCACAAGGAGAGAGAGGGGTAGAGGGAGAGGGGCAGAGGGAGAGGCAGGCTCTCCACTGAGTAGGGACCCCAATGTGGGGCTTGATCCCAGGACCCTGAAGGCAGATGTTTACCCAACTGAGTCACCCAGACGCCCTCCAGACAAGTTTCTGATAAGGCGAGCCATAGCTCGCCTTGTGCATTTGCTCTTTCTGGGTAGGTGTTCACTCATGCAGACACGTGCGCACACACACTCACATGCTCACACGCTCACACACTTACCTGAGTACATGCCCACTCCGTCGCACACTTGCACACACTCTTGCACAGGCACTCTCTCTCACACATAGGTGTACGCACACGCAGCCTTCATTCTTTCAATGCATCTGTCTTGTTCCTTCACGCTCCACACCATAAGTAATAACATCAACATGCAGTTCTCAGCCCTTAAGAAATTGCTGGAGGAAAGTCTTTAAAGGTGCAAAGAGAAATTTTAAGAAGATAGGAACACCTGTTTCCCATGAGCACAGAATAAGGAAACGGGGATAAACTTCAGCAGAATGGAGTTAGGGTAGAATTAAGAGGAATTTTCTAATCCAGAGGAGTCAAGATCTTTGGACTTTAAGTAGTAGTCTCCTTCTCTGCTAATGTTCAAGAAAGAATTAGCATTCTGTCTGAGAGAAAGACTGCTCAGAAGTCAATGTCCCTCAAAGCACTTTTCAAAATGCCTTTTCCCCAAGACTATGAATGGAAGAAAACCATGCTGTGACTGTCTCAAACCTGGTCTTAGAAGACCCAGGCTGTGCCACGGGGCTCTAGTCTCTTGGTTCACAGCTGTGCTGGCATTTGAGGAACAGAAAGACATTGGGCGTCAGGGAAAAGCCACGTTTCCCCAAGGTCGGTACAATTAACACCTCTCTTAACCACAGATGTGTGAAAAGAGGTGGCCCAAGTGAGCCCTCCGATTAACATTCTTAGCAAAGGGGCAGATTGCTCGCTTGCTCTGGCACACCAGAGGACCGGGCTGGAGCTGGGGAGAGCATTCCGCTGCCCGGGTGCCCCCAGCTGCCAAGTACTCTCCTGCCACCTCCCTCACTCTGTCAGCTGCTTTGGCCTCAAGCCCATCCTCTTTCCCCCAGCTGGGGTCTGGGAGCCTGCTGAGCACAGAATCCTCACCTACTAAGCCTCAGACTCACAACATTCTGCTAACGTAAGTTGTTCCCTGTCAGTTCATCATCTCGTCAGGGAATCCCACCTAGAAGCAAAGAACTGCCAGGGGAGCCCCCCGGGGAGGGAGAGACTGCCATCCCAGCGGTCCCCTTCTCCTCCATCTCTCTGCCCCTGCTGGTATCCCCTCTGCATCTCAGGGCCGTTCTGCTCGTCCTCCTTCTAAGGCCACCCTCTTAATTTATGTTCGTCATAAACCTATTTCTCTGATCATTCTCTTCAGTTCAGGTGAAACAATGGGAACATCTTCCAAGGTAGTTGTCTAAGAAACACAAGAGGTACGAAGTGGGCTGAAATCTATAACTCAGCTTGCACTTATCCATAGAAAAGCCCATTTCCCACCTGGGTTCCGAGCAGGGCTCAGACAGCACGCCTTCCAGGCGTGACAACCTGGGTTCCTTTCCTCACCCCAACTTGTCCAACTCTGGAGGGTGTCCCCTCTGTCTTCCCTTCTTTGCCTCCTCCTCCTAAGGGCAAGGTCACGGGCAGGGCCCTGACTGTGGTGGCCACAGGGGACAGTGGAGGGAACAGCAGAAGGCCCCAGGGGACAGCAGAGGCCCTGGAAGTGCGCAGAGACCCCGAGCTCAGAGAACGGGTCCTTCAGGCACACACTTCTAGACTGGGAGGCAGCCTAACTTCACCAATGTGTTTCTCGCTCCGAGCCCTTTCCCTCCTGTCTTCTTGTTCCTGGTGCTCGTCTGGGTCTTTCTGCGTCACACAGGCCGAGCAGGAGACAGCAGAGCCGGCTTCTCTCCAGCAAGCATGAGGGGCTATTTCCCCACCTGACAGTGGGGAACCAAGCCCAGCAAGATGAGGTTTTGACCCTCCTTTTCAATCGCCGCCCTCCTTTTTCAGAAAACCCTTAAGTCATATCCGCTTGTTCTCAACTCCTTGGTTGCTCGCCAAGACCGCCACAGGAGGGGAACACATCACACAAACACTTCTTCTGTTTTTCATGCCCCACCCCCTTCCAGACCGTCAAAGTCGAATAGAGGGCAAGTGGAGCAGTGTCGTTCAGCTGCCTGGGGCTGGGACGCTGTGGTGTTCTTAGGTCAGCCCCAGCAGCACAGGCAGGACAGAGAGCACGTCATTCAGTTCCTGCTTTTGCCAGGGCCCTAGGTGAGGTGTAGTCCAAGACTGCACCCCCCAGGGAGAAACGTAAACCACACAGTGAAAAGGGAAGATAGATCAATGAGATGGACGGGCGTGCGCTCAGTACCGTGTTTATATTCATTTGCAAAGGCTAAAAGTGATCTCAAGACGGTCACGGGGCTGGCCAGGGGAGGGAAGTTCCTGGTCTCTAAACACTGGGCTACGCATTGAGGTGTAGGAAGAACACAGTGAAAACTCTCTTTACTTGATTTTGAATTTGACCACTCGGAAGTTTGCATTGCGTCCTGTACATATTTAAACAGTCCAACTTATAAGTAAACGCACAAATGCTGTGGTAGAATGCTCAGGAAGGTATTTGCAGGGAAGTGTTCTCAGAAAGTTTGGAATCCTCTGTCAAACCGTTGTGCAGTTTGACAGCTGCTCCAACGAATTGTGGGGAGAGGCTGGGGAGTTGGTGAGACCTGAGGTGCTATCACGTTGCACTTAAAGCAACAACAGCAGGAGACCATGTGTGCCCCTGGAGAGGACACCAGAGCCCTAGAAAGCTGGGAAATGGTGTCGTGTAAGCCAGGCTCCCAAGGGAACCCAGGTGGGATGTTTGCACTTTCTCAGCCAAGGCCGCCCAAGGCTTCCTGTGAGGGGAGAGGTCATAGCTGGTTGGCCTCCATACCTTACACTCAGCACTTTCCTGAGCATCTCCTGCCTCCATCCTGGAAGCCAAGGGACAGGAGCTAATCCCTCTTCTCACTGGAACACACCTGGGAGATCAAGGAGTAGTGAGCAGTGGGCCTAGTCTTTCCCAGATCCTGTTCATACAAAGCAATGGTCCATGAACTGGAAGAGCACTGGGCAGGTCCCAAGTGGGGCAGCGTGCAGAGGAAGGGACCCAGGGGTCAGCTCCCTGAGCGGTGATGACGGTGCTTCCCTAGTGGGTCCTGTGTGACTCTGCCCTCAGAGTGGAAAGCTTTCTCCTCAAGCTGAGAAGTAGGGCTGACCCTTGGATGTCAAGACTAACATTGAAAGTGGCTTTGATAAAAGAAGTGCTGTTAAGGACAAACATAGGAAAGGGGCTGAGAGACAAACTGCACAGGCTAGACCATTCTGTGCGCAAACAGAAAAAAGAATCTCGGTTGATGAAAAGTCAGTAGTTTGAGAGTTACCCATTAAAAGAAGTAAGCATCAGGCTCACACTTCAGTGCTTTCTGCAAGACTTGAATGCTCTCAAGGGGATCTTTCAGCCAATCACTTTTGCCTAAATCCCAGTGAGACGATGGGAGCAATCTTCCCGTTCCCTAGGAGAGGCTGGATTTGCTGAGCACCTGGGTCATCTGCCCACGAGGTACAGCCAGATGGGGTCCACTTCCTCCGAGCTCTGCTCCTCCCACCCTAGGAGGCTCACCACCCACTCTTCTCCTTCCTTCCATCACTCAGAGCACCCCAAGATCTGGCTACCTCGGACCCTGAGGCAGACCTATATCCGGAAGGTCGGAGACACTGTGAACCTACTAATCCCATTCCAGGTGATCATGCTGGCCCCGTGCTGGGTCCATGTTGGGTCCACGCTGGGACCAGGCCAGGGTTGGTTTTTTGTTTTTTTTTTAAAGATTTTATTTATTTATTTGACAGACAGAGAGAGAGAGAGATCACAAGTAGGTAGAGAGGCAGGCAGAGAGAGGGGGAAGCAGGCTCACTGCTGAGCAGAGAGCCCGATGTGGGGCTCGATCCCAGGACCCTGAGATCATGACCTGAGCTGAAGAAAGAGGCTTAACCCACTGAGCCACCCAGGTGCCCCAAGGCCAGGGTTTTAATTTGGAAACGGATACTAAGAGTCTTGCTGGCACTGGGGCAGTCATGCTGGCCTGGAATGAAGGGGGCCATGTCACCATAAGTCTGAGGCAGAATGACCCTTCCAATTTGCACTCCTGATGTGGGTTTTGGGTTGGGCATGCCGCAGGTGACAAACTGAGGCTACCCTATGTCCTTCAGTCAGCAGAGTTCTGGGAGCGCTCAGTTTAGAGGGCTCTTGGGAGGTTAGGTAGCTCTAGTTAGTCTCAGCTGCCCCAGGTGACCTAAACCCAGAGGGTGGGAAACTCAAAGCCAAACCCCTTCGTTCCCCCATGATCCTTAAGCTGTTGATGAAAGATGCCAGTCTCTTGGGACAGCCCACCAATTTCTAACTCAAGGCATTTTCAGTTCAAGTCAAGTCACCATGGAGACCTGGGGTGGCTCTGACCACCCCGCATTGCGACAGGGAGAGTCATAAGCCCTCTTGGGTTTCCTCACAGTCCTTTCCCATTTCTTAGGGCAAACCCAAACCTCGAGCCACCTGGACACATGAAGGCTGTGCCTTGGATGCCAGCCGTGTGAGTGTGCCCAACGTGCTGACTCAGGTTGCTACCAGCTCAGTGTACAGCTGGGAGAGCTGGAGGCCACTGCCACCATTGACATCCTGGTGATCGGTACAATGGGGGCGGTGGGAGAGAAGTGGTCCTCAGGGGCTCCCTCTCCAGGCTAAAGAGGAGCCATCACAGAGAGTCGGGGAAGCTGGGGTGACTCCTCACCAAGGGTGGGGCACAGTGGTGGGTGAGGGGAAGTGTGGCTGAGCAGAGAAGGGGAGGGGCACTCCCGAAGTGGTTCCCAGGCATATGTGAGTGGTACCATGCCTGCTGCCATGCTTGGCCCTTTCAGAGAGGCCAGGGCCTCCTCAGAGTATCAAGTTGGTGGACGTTTGGGGCTCCAATGCTACTCTGGAGTGGACACCTCCCCAAGACACGGGCAACACGGCACTCCTGGGATACACCTTGCAGAAGGCTGACACAAAATCTGGGGTGAGGCCAGCTGGGAGGGAGTGGGGAGAGAGGAATAACGCTTTCTGGAATGGGGCTCTGGTAGCTCTGTGCAGTGGGCTGAGGTAGAGTGAGTTCACAAAACAGGGGTCTCATTCACGACATCTTCTTGGGACCCCTAAGCTGTGGTTCACGGTGCTGGAGCATTATCACCGCACCAGCTTCACAGTCTCCAACCTCATCGTGGGCAACTCCTATGCCTTTCGAGTCTTTGCTGAGAACCAGTGTGGGCTCAGTGAGACAGCCCCCATCACAGCTGACCTTGCCCACATCCAGAAAACAGGTAGGACCTGGGGCCTGGGAGCCGGGAAGAGTTGAGGATGAAGAGTAGAAGAGGGCTGGGGCTCTCAGGCACTACAGCATGGCCCTTCTTGGTCCCCTCAGCAACTGTCTGCAAGATCGAGGGGTTTGTGCAGCGAGATTTCTCTGAAGCCCCAAAGTTCACCCAGCCTTTGGCGGACTGCACCACAGTCACCGGCTATGACACCCAGCTCTTCTGCTGTGTCCGCGCCTCTCCCAAGGTGAGCGGGAGTCCGGCCCGAGGGCCAGGCCACGCCACTCCCTGCTCCTGCCCTAATCTCCACCGTGTGGAAGAGTGTTCTAACCACATCATTGTTCCCCCTACTTCCACCCGCTGCCCCTTCCACAGAGGCTCAGGCAGGTTGTGAACAGTCAGGGCACTTAGAGTCCAAGACAGGCTGATGTGGATATGGATGTGGATGATGATTTCCAATTTCCTTTTCCAATTTCCTCATATATGAAGATGTCACTTACTTTTCAAATTTCAAATTTCCAATTTCCTCATATATGAAGATGTCACTTACTGGTCTGCTGGCAGCGGGGTGTGAGTTCAAGTTGTCTCTCTGGCAGAGGCGATGGAATCTCCCTGGTTTCTCCTTCATCACCCACTATGCCTCACCTGTTCAGGGCCATCTGTATGCCAGGTGTCTGGAGTTGAGGCCACAGCCCTGAGCAAGTCTTTGTTCAATCTGGTCACTGTCCTTCTGATTACCATACTGCATAAAACAGCACTAACAACCTTACTAAGTACGTTTTGCATAGGAGTCCTGGGCCAGGCTGCATGGAGATCGTCTCAGAAAGAGAATGTCAATAAGCACACTCTAGAAACTACTTTCTAACCAGAGGAGCAATAGTGAGTCCCAAGCCAACAGTGGGAACAGATTATGAATGATTCAACAATGTATATACAAAAAAGAGGAGATCCTGAGGCCCGGTACTTGGGATCCATGAGGGGGCTGCTCATGCAGGATGGGACAAAGGTCCCACCTTTTTTCTAGTCAGGAATACTTGAACAAGGCAAGGTGTCAGGTGCTTTTTTAAACCAACAGAAGGAGCTTAGGAGGCTTTTGAGGGTACTGGAAAGGGAGCACCTCCCCAAATGTAAGGCATGGGGAGCTTTCCAGAAGACCATTATCTCTTCTAGATCCCGTGTCACCCGTTCTTAAGGCACCCTACTCCTCCCACTTCTCTGGCCCATGTCCCCAGGCCTTGTAGGCGAGGAGTCCCAGGGATTGAGCACAGAAAGAACAACTGGTTCTCATCACTCCTGTGCTGGCCCCTCGTCTTTATCTTCCAGCCAAAGATCATCTGGCTGAAGAACAAGATGGATATCCAAGGCAACCCCAAGTACAGAGCTCTCAGTTACCTGGGAATCTGTTCTTTAGAAATCCGCAAGCCTGGTCCCTTTGACGGGGGCATCTACACTTGCAAGGCGGTTAACCCCCTGGGGGAGGCGTCTGTGGACTGTCGGGTGGATGTGAAAGGTAAGGGCAGAACTCATCCCCTCTCTCCACAGCTGGAAAATTCGGGGGTGGAGCTACAAGCCTGCAGGGAGCAGGGCTTGGCTGGCTCCCCGTGCAGGTGCTCTCGGCCCTGTTAACATCAGGATGGATGTGAGGAGCCGTTTTTATCCTCCAATATTTTATTTCTCTCCAACATTATTCTGTAATACAGGATTGCTAGTTCCATTCTGCAAAGGAGAAACCTGATGCACAGGGCAGTGATCGGTTTACCCAAGATCCCCAGCACTGCTTAAGTGAGGAGTCAGCACTGTGGTGGAAAGAGCACAAGCCTCCTGGCCTTCGCTCAGATCGTTTGTCTTGAAATTATACAGTCTTTGACTGAGTCCAGGAAAGCTGCAGCTGTCTGTTAGGACTTGCCCCTCTGGTTTGTTAAAAGGGAGAATTGCACATCCTCTCTACCTCTTTTAAAGTATTCATTCATCCACCCATTCCTGTGCCCTTGTTCAGATCTCCGTCATTGCATTTAGCGTATTGTTATGTAAGTGCCTGTTTACTGATCTGTTTCTCCATTAAACCAAGAGCACTGTGAGGGCAGGGACATTCTGACTTGCCTTTGTCATCATCGCCCACCCCCGCCAGCGCTGAGCCCAGTTTCTGACACACAGTGGGCACTCTCTAAGTGTGCATAGCATGAATTAGGAATGAACAGGCCATTGCACGCCCTATTTTTCCCCATGCGGAGACTCCTAATTAGCACCATGGACTCTGGAGAGACCTATTCCTTCCCAGTGCTCCACAAGAGGGTTTCCCAGAGATTTCGGAGATGTTAACTCTGAGAAATGTCTGAATTCTTGCAGCTCCTCATTGAGGCTCCCCAAGAGGATTAGGGCAACTCTGACAAAGGTAAGGAAAGAGGGGCTGGGGTTCTGAAAGGAGTAGGTCATGTTTATGACTAGTGTTGAGTCTGAGACAGACATATATTCCTGAATCTTTCAACCATGCAGCCAGTGGTGACTACTTTCCTCTTAACCACTTTCTTTGGTAAGCTACCACTATCATCTCCGTGAAAGGAATTTACTATAGATGGTACTAGTTGTGTCACATCCTCTATCTATCTCTACTCAAGTTGATGACAGGTGTTAAACCTAAGGGACCTCTGGAAAGGGATGACAGCACCTACCTAACTGTAAGCGGGTTCTGTGGGAGGGAGGTGGGCAGGCACTATACGAAAAGTCATCAAGGGAACAATCAGGAGTGGAGGATGGACGGTCACCACCAGCAAGTGGCAGCAGCATGGAAAAAGAGACAGGAAGCTGCTTTTAGTCATTGTTTCTACCTCAGAATCATGAGCATGGTGAGAAACAGATTAGTTTGCTTATCTTCTGCTTTGAAGTTTATGGATTCCCTCCCTTCTGAGAGAAGAAACCACTATTATCATCATGCCAATAATAATTGAACATGTGGGCATGTGGTCCCAAGCAGCACATTACCGGCAAAGGGCAACTCAGATCACCGTTTAAAATGGGATAGCGTGTTCAGGTTCTGAATCACGCACAGTAGAAATGCTGTGTACAAACTGATGAGTGGGGTGAAAAAGCAGCTCGTGGGAGAATTAAGGAGAACTGGTTCCCAGTGTCTCCTTGGACTTGCAGTTCAGGGCTGATGAAGATTGAGAGAGAATACCAACCTAGAAGCCATTTATTTGAGTCCATCATCGATAAAGAGCAAATAAAAACCCTCAGGGATGCATTAAAAGCACAGACTTCTCAGGAGAACTCTCTTGGCCAGTTGGCTTGCAAAGACAGTTCTCTGGCCACCCCTCAGTCCCCTCTCTGGGCTAATGTTAATGTCACATTGGGGTTAGCCTTGTCAGGGGGACTTGCTCTGCTACCTCTCTCTCAGCCAGCACGGGCAACACAGCAAAGTAGAGAAGTGACAGCACAGGACCCAGGGACCAGGGAGAGGATTGCCTCAGCATCCTGGATGTGCGCTGGGTGTTTGCTGTTACAGCCACAACATACTCTTTCTTTTCTGTGCCTCCAGGAAGCCTGACTGTGGTGAGACTGTGTTCTCAAGGAGCTCCAGCACAGTGTCTGCTTTGGACTAATCTAAATAAATGTGTGGATCCTCAGTGCCTCAGTGTCCATCCGTTTGAGCCACTCTCTATGGGAAAAACATAAGAAAAACATTTAGAACATTGGAATCCTTTAGCCAGACTGTATGGAATCTGCAGACCCTCACACTCCTCTTTCTCCCCATACCCACATTCTCTTCCGCAGAGGTTTCTAACACCGTCCTTTTGTCTAGAGTCTATGCCAGAGCTGAATTCAACTCTATCCAGTGCCTGGTGCTAAAAGAGATGCTGAACGTGACTTGTACTCTTCCTCTCTGCACTTTCCAGTATAAGGTGGAAAACAGGACGCACGTCCATCACAGAGACACATAAACACGTCCATAGCTAATTAAAGACAGGGCACTGAGACTTGAAGGCTGGGAGATACTGAAGAAAGTAGAGCAGTCTCATTAAGTCCCGGGGAAAGAGTAAAGGTGAGGTACCCTTTCCTACATGTTTGTTTTCATTCTTATAATGAGTAAAATATTAAAGGCATTCTATGATGGAGTCTGCAAAAGAGAGCAATTCCTCCCATCCTGGCTAGGATGGGCATAGTGCTCTTCCCACCAAGAGCTGGAGTCTATTTCTCCTCCCCTTGAACCTGGACTATCCATGTGACCTCCTTCAACCAAAAGAATATAGCGGAAGTGATGCTGTGATGGTCTGGGCCTAGACCTCAGGAAGTCTAGTGGTTTCTGCTTTTGATTCTGGAGGTCAGCTCCCATGTAGAGAATCTCAGGACAGATTACTGAATTATGAGAGGCCACAGGCAGGACAGCCAAGCATCCTAGCCGACAGTCCACACCACAGCCCCTTGGCATGTGTGGCCACCTAAGACCCTTCAAGCCCTAGTCAAGCCCAACCTACTCCCAGTGGAGCAGAGACAGATGGTCCTTACACAAGCCTGCCCAAATTGTAAAATCATGAGGTGAATGGTTGCTGTTGTTTCAAGCCATAAAATATCGGGCTGGTTTGTTACACAGTAATCCGTAACTAGAACAGCCTTCTCTGCATCAGATACTGGATGTCAGGCTTTATCTCTTTTAATCCTCACTTTTCACATGAGACACTTGAAGTTTATAAATTGCTCCAAGTCATGCAGCCGGTAGTAGAATTTGAACCAGGTCTGCTTGACTTCAAGCCTTCCCTCTTTCCTCTCCCCTCTTTCACCCAGTGACCCTCACACGGTAGTGGGTCTGGGTTGGGATCATGGGTTTAAGAAAGAAAAGATTCCTAGGAGATAGTAAATCTTAGACAAGGCTTTGAAGAGGGAGGGGGACTGTTTTGCCTGAGAAGAGTGAGAAGGGCTTTTCTGTTCAAAGCAAAGGTCTATTTCCAATTGAGGCAAAGTGTCTGTTCCAGCTTTTCTCAACAGGAGCACTATAAGAATGAAGTCCCGGTGCCCCAAAGGCATCCATCGTATGTCATAAATTAACTTCTTCTATGCATTCAGAACATTACTAATTATGTAGCATCTTGGGAAAGCTGAGAAAGTAACCACACAAATTATTTGTAGGGTCTAATGCCCTTGCTGAGAATGCTGGGGTGGGGAGAGAAGGGGCCCAGAGTCCAGAGCCAGCTAGTCATGTGCGCAATGGCCAAGAAGCTCCCCAACTCCCTCCAGCTAGGGCAGGGCCTAGGTCAGAAAGGAGTAGAATACTCCCAGCTATGATCCCCTAAGAATCAGTTAGACCTCTGGCCTCTGCCCACAGCCCCATTCCTCAGCTGTCTGTTGAGTACTCAAGGACCATCCCTTACAGTTCATCTATTCTGAACCTTCATGATAAAGTCATTTATGCACTCAACACTATGGAGTTCCCTCTGAACTAAGGTCTACCACCTGCCTGGGAGGATGCAATCTCTTTGTTAATTCATTTAACATTTATCCAAAATCTTAAACATCTGTTCATATATCTCATTTTGGGGTTGAGCTAACGTGGACAATTCTCAGAGTAATGGCCTTACGCTGAGTAAGAACTCTCATGCCTGAAATCTGTATTTTCTGATTTTATTGTTATTTTGACGGTGGAGAAAGTTCAGTTGCTTTTTCTTTCTGGTACTGCAACAGCTTTCAAAATCATAATTTGGTGACAGGATTTTTTTTTTTTTTAAGATTTTATTTATTTGAGAGAGAGAGCATGAGTGAAGGGAGAGAAAGAGGGAGAAGCAGACTCCAGGCTGGGCAGGAAACCCAATAGGGGGCTCCACACCAGGACCCTGAAATCACTACCTGAGCCAAATGGAGGGAGCCCCCCAGGCACCCCTGGTGACAGGAAATTGAGGACGAGTTTCCTTAGGAGAAACAAACAGCCAATTTGCTAATTAATGAGCAGCTTCTCTCCTTACACTCTGCTTCACCACCAGCTGTCTGGAGAGAGGGAGGCACCCGGCTCCAGCCCTCCCACCTCCCCAGAACCCAAATGCTACAAGCTACTGCAATTCCGCCTTCACCAGGAAGCCTACAGAAACCCAGGCAACCCTCTTCTCTCAGCTCTGCTGCCCACAAGCCTGCAAGTCCAGGGCCTCCCCACCCAGCCCCTCAGCCCCTCACTGAATCCCAAGGTCTCTTTGCTGCCTGTGGCATTTACTTCAGGGACAGCTCACGCCTACAAACCTCACCACTCGACCTCATGGCTAAAAACTAGGAAGGAACCCCCAAAAAAGGCCTGTAAATAGCCCAGATAACGGTCATAAACTCAGGAGACCAAAGCTCTCCGGCCATTCTTCTCGATTTTTAAAACGTTTCTAAGAAGCCCTGGTAACTGGTGGCCCAGGCTAGTCACAGGCAACCGCTGGGAAACAACAAAGAGGGAATCTCTAATGAGTAGGCTTAAGCATTTCACAAACACAGCTTTTAGTTTGAAAGCGTTTAGAGGCACGTTCAAAAGCCCCTGTGGCACGCGGCCGAAAGCTCGAGGGAACATAACTGATGGTCAGGATCCTCACTCCGCGGGGAAGAGAGGGGCTGAGTATGCTCAAGCCTGCCTGCCTGTGACGGAGGGGTCTCGGGTGAACTGGACCCACACCTCCCTGCCAGAAAAGCCTGTTTTGTTTTGTTTTGTTTAAATTACACCTCCGCTACCTCACGTTCCGAAAGTTCTCGCTTAAAAAGACGATGGGAGATGTACTTCTTACGGATCCTCAATATACCTAAGATATAAATGTCTGGGTGCTCCCGCAACTTGAAAAAATCACAATTGAGGAAATCTGGCAAATGTGGTGCTTGCAAACCAAGTAATCCTCCGGAACCGAATTCCCTCGAGCGCGGCGTTAGTTCCAGGCCGGCCTGGTGAGCCCTGGCTCCGCCCAGCTGGGGGAGGGGGCGGAAAGGAGGCGGGGCTAGCCGGGCGCGAAACCTACATTCATTGGCCAGGTCCCTCGCGCCGCGCCACAAGGCCCCGCCTGCTCCGTAGGGAGGTCTCCCGGGCACGCGCGCGCGCTCGCGGACTCCCCGCTTCAGCCCTCCGGATGGAGTCTTTCTTAGAGCCGCTCTCCGCACGGTCCCCACAGGCAGACTTCCGGCCGGCTGCCTGTCGCTGCCCCGCCCCCTAGGGGGCGGGAAACGCTGGGATCCGCCAATCACTGGGCGTCTGTAGTAGAAGTGGGTGGAGCCTAAGAGATTCGAAAGGAGCCCCACCCCTTCGGGGGTGATTCCCGGGACTAAATAGTGGGAGGCAAGCACCTTCGGCGAGAGGTGAGGCGGGGCGGAAAGTAAAAAGCGAGGGTGGGCTGGAGGTGTGGTGTGGGTGTGGTGCCGTGGGAGTGGAGAGGTGATTTGGGGAGAGAAAGAACCGGAGGATGGTGGCGGGGAAGAAGATAGGGGGTGCACACTGCCCCCGGTGAGGAGAGAGCTGGTTGTAGGGGGGCAGCCGGGCAACCTGGGGAAGGGGGATGGTGCGCTCTCCACACCTTCTCTGGAGGTAACAGGGCTGTTAAAAGGGCAGGTGCTACTCCTGGGATTCTTGCTTTACCTCCAGCGTGTTCCCCCACCCCTGGCTTGCACCCTGAGTCTAGCTGGGAGCCTTGGGCAGGGTGGAGACCTGAAGAAAGGAATATTTTCTCTCCAGCTCAGGTCTCATCTGACTCGTGCTCCTGCTGGCTGGAACATGGAAGATTTGGAGGAAGGTAAGGAAAGTAAAGAGGAAAGAATGAGGGCGCTGCGATTGAGAGCCCTGTTGGCAACCTGAGGCTGGCATTCATTCCCTCCTCCCCTACAGATGTGAAGTTTATAGTGGATGAGACCTTGGACTTTGGAGGGCTGTCACCATCTGACAGGTACCATCCTCTTTGACTTTCTTGCTTTCCTCCAACAATGCCTCTTTGTCTCTAACCCCTTACTGCTGAATTATTGGTCTGTGGGGTCTGGGTAATGTAGCAGGGTTGGGTGCCTTGCGGCTGCTGGGGGCATTGTTGACATGAGCCTCAATGACTATTGGGGGAAGGGAAAAGCGATAAGCTAGAATGAGATTTCAGGATATTAAGAAGGGTAAATGGATTTGCTGCATCTTCATCCTGGCATCATTTCCAATGTCAGTAAGGATTAAAGGCCTATTAGGCCTCATAGGACCAGGCGTCTCATCACGTACAGGCCAGATCTCACAGCAAGCATAGGCGTTGGGGTTTGGGGTTGTATCCCTGGCTCTGTTGAGGGGGGTGCCCGGTCTCCTTTGCACAGTCTCTTGCTCTCTTCTTTGTGGGCATGGTGCCTGGTTTGTTTTCTGTCTCAGTCGTGAGGAGGAAGACATAGCAGTGTCAGTGACTCCAGAGAAACCCCTCCGAAGAGGACTTTCCAATCGAAGTGACCCAAATGCAGTGACCCCAGCCCCCCAGGGGGTGAGGCTCAGCTTAGGCCCACTTAGTCCAGAGAAGCTGGAGGAGATTCTCCATGAGGCCAACCGACTGGCAGCCCAGCTGGAGCAGTGTGCCCTGCAGGAGCAGGAGAGCACTGGTGAGGTCCTGGGGCCTCGCAAGGTGAAGCCCAGCCCTAGGCGGGAGACCTTTGTGCTGAAGGACAGTCCTGTCCGAGACCTGCTGCCCACTGTGAGTTCTTTGACTCGGAGCACCCCCTCTCCAAGCAGCCTGACACCCCGACTCCGGAGCAGCGATAAGAAGGGGTCAGTCAGGGCTCTTCGGGCAGCATCTGGAAAGAGGCCCTCCAGTGTGAAGAGGGTAAGTTTGAAGGGTCTGGGTTGGATGTGTCCCTTCAGGCACAATGTATGACTTGGTATAGCCCTAGAGTGGTTTCCTTTTTTGTAAAATGGGGTTAGTAAGATTCTACCTCAGAATTATTGGAAGTAAGCAAAATACTGTAAGCAAAGCACTTACCACAGTGTCTGCACATTTCTATGTAGTGTCTATAATAAGCTTACGGTAAACAATATTGGTGAGGATGATGATGTTGGCAGCTAACGTCTGCCCTTCCTTACTGGGATGTAGGCAACTCTCCACCTCTATTTCTCAAACAGCCAGCAGAACAGATTCTTTTTCCATTCTAGTTCTATTTTTTCTCTCTTTGTATTTCAGGAGTCACCCACTTGCAATCTGTTCCCTGCATCCAAAAGCCCAGCATCTTCTCCTCTTGCCCGGCCCACTCCCCCAGTCCGGGGCAAAGCTGGACCCAGTGGGAGAGCAACAGCAAGTGAGAAGGCTTGGACAGCAAAGCTGTGGGTGAATGGGAGGGGGGAAGGATGTGGAGCTGACCCTCTTAATTCCTCTACTTCATTCCAGCAGGCCCGCCTCCCGCTGTCAGACCAGTCTTGGCCCCACAGCCTTCTACCAGCAATTCTCAGCGCCTCTCTCGGCCACAGGGAGCAGCTGCTAAGACTTCCAGTCGACTGCCTGTTCCCTCGGCTATCCCCAGGCCTGCCAGCCGAATGCCACTCACCAGCCGGAGTGTACCACCCAGCAAAGGTGCCCTGCCTCCAGCTTCTCTGCCAACTCGGAAAGGAGTTCCACGACCAAGCGCTGCAGGGCACAGAGGTGAGGAAGAGTGGACATAACAGTTGGAAGTCAGGAGGAAGAATGCTTATCCTTGTCTAGCTTGAATGTATCTCCCCACCCCCCCCAGAGCTGGGAACAGTGACCACTTCCTCCCCCCCGCCCCCAGAGCTGGGAACAGTGACCACTTCCTCCATCTTCATTACCACTCAATTTGAAGATGGCGAGACTGAGTTAAAGAGAGGATGTGGGCCCGAGCAAAGAGTTTGAACTGTGGTTCTCAAATACCTCATGTTTTTTACCTTGGGTAGGAAGAAAGGCACTAATCCCAAACTCTGAGAAGGTCACTTGAACTCTGTGCTAACTCATTTCTCTTGTCCACCCCCATCAAGTTCCCATTTCTCAGCGACCAAATCTTCCTGCCCCTGGTGCCACCCGCAGCAATCTTCAGCCCCCCAAGAAAGCTGCAGTCCCAGGACCTACCAGGTAAGATCAGTTGAGATGCTCTCTCTCCCATCCTCTGGGCTTCCAAACTGTTGTGGACACCAGCCCTGAGTATTGTGTAGCAAGGTAGGAATGAGGAGGGGAGCCTGGAGAGGCAGGGAGTCCCATTCTTCCTTCCCTGAGAAACTTGAGCTCAGCAGGTGACAAACGGGCTTGCGGAAGAAGGACAATTTAAAGCAGTTCTTCCTTCTGATTCTTTAGGTAAAGAGATTAGGACAGCAAGCAAGAATTCCGTAGCAAACCACTACAGTCACTGCCTGGACTCACCTCTACCCGGCCTCCCAAGCCCTCTCATGGACGACAGGCCCCAACTCAAGCGAATCCTGGCCCAGGAGCAGGAGAAAGAGATCCCACCGGGGCTGGTGCCCCAGCAGTAAAGAGATGGGAGATGGGGTGGATTAGGGTTGAGCTGGAGGGGAGTCAAACCCTGTGAGTTGAAAGAGGATTAGGGAAAAGAGGTCGCCTCCTGACAGTGAAATTAACAAGCAGAAAATGAGAAAAGCCAGAGAGTAGTTTGTCCTCGTCCACCCCCCACTCTTGTGTTCAGTCTCAGAGAGTTTGATCTTCTTCCCAGGCATTGGTTCACTGGATATTTACATGTGAATGGCCTCTGTAGCTAACCGCCCCGCTCCCTGAGGAGCACCCTCTACTGGACTATAAGCCTGTTTGGAGAGGCAGAGGCAGGCACCTGGTTTCCTGCAAATTCTGTGACTCCTAACGGGCCAGTTGATGATAAGCTTACATTGGGCTGCGTTTTTCTAAAACAAAATGAATGTATTTTTCTAATCTCTGTATATGTGAAAGTAAATTCTCCAATTTCAAACAAATTTGTAGTAAACTCCTGTGTTATTCCGATGAGGGAGTCAGGACGAGCTTCCCAGGCTGGGCCTAAATAGGCCAAAGGGGCTTGTGTTGCAAGCTCATCAGACCGGGACCACCCGCCCTCACTTTGTTGGCATTAGATGGGAACGAGCTGCCTTCTTCCAGGATGCGTATGTTACTGAAAGGTCCAGATCAATGGAAATACATGAGTAAGGCTATCAAGGCAAGGTCTTGGTCAAATCGTTATTTATATCCTAAGCTTGGGTGACCTTTCCTGGCAAAAGCACAGAGCCTTCTGAGAATGCCTCAGCATCTAGTCTGCTGTGCTGATGAGATGAGGGGACGCTTTGGTGGGTACCCTAGTACTCCGTTTTGCTGACTGCTTTAGCAGAAGATACTGGAACACCTCATCACATTCTACCTTATATCATCAGAATTGTTGGGCCTAGACTTGAGGGCTGACACTAGGTTTTATAAACCTCTGCCATGCCTGGTGTTATGATTTGTATGTGGCAGAGAATTTCATTCATTTGTTGGAAAAATAAATTTGACTGCACGATGGTGGGGGGTTGGTGAAAAAATGACAGAGACTCATTTAACAGATTTTACTAAGGGTCTTCCTTTTCTCACACTTGCAACCAGAACCAAATCAATTCTTGTGAGTTTTTTTTGTTTTGTTTTTTTTAAGATTTGTCTATTGTAGAGAGCGAGAGCTGGTGGAGGGGGCAGGTAGGGGCAGAGGGAGAGGGAAAGAGAGGCTTAAGCAGACTCTGCCCTAAGCATCGGAGCCCAAGGCAGGGCTCAACATCGGGTTTGATCTCATGACCCTGAGGTCACGACGGGAGCCAAAACCAAGTCAGATGCTAAAAAGACTGCACACCAGGCACCCCTAATTCCTTGTGAGTTTTTGAGAGAACTTCCCTCTTTAAAGGCTGGGCTATGACTTAAGGAGCAGAGGGAGTGGAGCATCAGCTAGTGCCCCCCACACATATATGCCCATCAGTACCCTACTTAGGCATCGAAATGTTCTTTCCCAGACAGGGGCCCTCCACCGCTGTCTTCTCTTTTTTATGACTGATCTTCAGGTTCACCAAACACATTCATCTGTGTGACAGCAGCAGCTGCCTAGGCCTTTGCCCCTTTCCCTGAGCCTCCTGCAGCAACTCCTACAGCCTCTGGGATTCTAAGAATTGAGCTGGGGTAGGGGATGCGGAAACACCAAGTGTTTGGCTCTGGAGAAATTTGGCAGAGGCAAGAAAACCTTAGGGGTGTTCTCCAGCTGAGTCCTGAGCTGCCATCTGGTGAGCAGGGCCCTTGGTGACCCCCGACAGAACAGACTGAGGTGTGGCCAGCAGATGGCACCTGTGTGTGGTTTGGGAGGCGAAAGGAGCTGCAGCCCCATCTGCTGTTGCCACCTGGTGGCCAGAAAGGGTAAGGCATGTTCCCTGTGCTCTCCCGTCAGGCTTGGATTTCATAACCCCCACCTGCCCTGCCCCCATCCTGCGGCAAACCTGCTTAAGCAACATCCAAGAGACTTTGCCAGCTAGGGAGGAGGCCCACCTGCCACAGCTGCCCTTCTTGCTCAGCTACCTGCTTCCTTCCCTTTGGGCTTGCTTTCTATTTTTCTCTGTATGCACTCTACCCTCACCCCTCCCCAGGAGCAACAATGAGTGAAGCCAGCATTTACTGGCCTCTTACTATGCGCTGTGAACTGTTCTAAGCACTTTACATGTGTTAACTCATTTAATTCTCATAAAAGCTCAATTAGGAGGATGCTGTTATCATCCTCATTTTGCAGGCAGAGAAACTAAGGCTCAGAGAGCTTAAGTCACTGGGTCTGGTTCCAAGGTTTGTGCTCTTCATCACTATCCTCTATGGCCCCCGTGTTAACTCCCCAGCTAGTCTGCTGACCAGAGCCTTGGAAAACAGAAAACTCGCAGACAAAATGTTGCAGAGCACGTAGGTGACTTGAGTGTGAATTGTTGCTTCATTTCTGATGGGAAAACACACACAATGACCCAGAGGAGTGAAGTCAAAAGGTACGTCGTCACTGAGCCACTCAGCCACTCTGCCCTCCCTGTCTCCCGAATTTTGTCCCCAGGACTCAGCCCTGAGGGGCTGGACTGGAAACCTGCCTGCTCTTTGCAGCCTCTCCACTGAAAACGTGTCCCTCCTGTCCTGATAAAAGGATACTCTCCTGCCGCCTGCCACATCTTCCTTGGACACACCAGGACATGGGCTCTGTGCTGAAGAGGCTATCTGGAGAGCACCGCTGGGGTGCTGGTGGCAAGGCTAGCTCACTGGCAAGTGACATCTGAGTCCCCTGACCTCTGGGCCCTCCCAGGGCCCTGCCTGCTCGTGTTTTCCAGAGCCTCGCTCCAGAAGCACAGGGCACCCCACAGAAACAAGATGATGGCACTCAACCCGCACAGAACAACAGTTTATTCAGTGGTATGGGGAAATGAAAAAAAAAACACAAAACCCTACTGTATTTACAGTAACAATCAAACTGTACAATCTGATGGTTAGTATCAAGTTAGCATCCAGCATCTTTGTATTTTTTAAGTCAAGTCATCAGTAGTTAAAAACCAGTTAAATTTTTAACCCTTTGTAGGAATTGCTGAGGGGAGGGTTCAGGGGGAGAATCCATGGCAGAAAACCAAGCAACCAGCCTTACATGTGAGAAACAGGAACATTTTTTTCCCCACCCATAGCCTCTTTTTCTAGCCACCTGCTCCAGAAGAAAGTCAGTGACAAGTGGGGAATACATGCTCAGCGTACACGGTAACTCAAATGAACAGCGGTTGGCAAAACTGGGGTTGCAAGAGGAGAGGAGGCAAGAGATGAGAGCCTGGATCGAGGGAAAGGGCCTCAACCCGCCCACACCAGGAATGCTGGGTACCCACCTGACCTGTCACAGCCACATCAGCCCCCCTGGGATCGGACACGAACCCATCCCGACATAAAAAGCAAATAAATAAAAATATATATTAACTCTCTCTTCGCAGGGAGCTGAGGATGGGCGTGGCAGAAGGGGAAGAAAGAGGAACAGGACCTGGTCCTTTGAAGAAGAGAGCCAATTCCGAAAAGGGGTTAAAAATAGAACACATCTCAGAGGCCACAGTAATCAGACAAAATGGGATTTGTCTGATCTTGCGGGGGTGGCTGCGTGGACACCAGAACCCGGACTTGAGACCTGTGCTTAAGACTTCTGGGGGCAACTGAGCCAGCCCTGGCCTTATTCTTCCTCCCTTTCCCACCCACACCACAGCAAAGAAGCGCAACTGAACACGTGACTGGCCTTCCCCAGGTGGGTCAGGCAGGGAAATGAAGCACTTTTGGGTCAGCGAACTGAGCAAACGCCTGGGCTGTAGCACGTGGCCAGAGTCCAGGGAAAGGAGAGGGGCTGGGGTGGCCCGGCCTCCACCCAGGGGCACGGGTTCCCCTCAAAATGTGTTCATGCAGCATTTGGGGGTCCGGGGGCGCGGAGTCCTTCTGCCCCCTCTCCGGACGGGGCTTTTTCAGTTCCTGGGAGGGGCAGCACAGGCAGGGTGAGGAGTGCCCTTTGACGCCCTCACCACACTGAGGCCCGCCGGGGTGCATCCGGCAGGGCTCGATGCCCTGGGTGCATGTGGCTTTGTCCTTTCCTTTTGGTGATGGCAAATGAGGGGCAGGCCCCCCGAGAGTCCCTCTCCTCCCAGAGGCACAGCAGATGGGAAACTGAGGAGAGGCTGGGAAGTATCCTGGGAGGTCCTATCCTCTTTGGGAAGGGAAAGGGGAGTCAGTTTCCAGCATATAAAAAAAATTAATCCCTGAAGTCATGAAGAGTGGAGATCCTTTTTTAAATTCTTTTTTTCCTCTTTTCTGAAAAACTTTGTCTTGGAGATGTTGGCCCCAGGGGTCCAAAGTGCAGTGAAGGGGATGGTGGGGGAGGGAGTTGGCACTAGATGGCCTTGGGTGGGGTGGGTGCCCCTCCCGGCAAGGCCCAGGCTCCTCAGATGGACGTTTCGTCGCTGCTGCGGGCAGGCGGTGGGGAGCAGGGGCAGGATAAAGCACAAGACAGGAGTGGGGCATGAGTGCAGCTGGGGAAGGTAAGGGAGCCGCAGGGTGTAGGAACCACTGGCCCAGGGTTAATGCAGGAAGTTAAAGAAGAGAAATCTGGAGAGGCAGGAAAGGAAAGTGACAGAAAAGGCAGACAGGGGGTTAGTTGGAGCAGAGAAGACAGTGAGAAGCTTCCACCAGGAGAAGGAAACAGGAAAGCAACCCCCAGCTCCCCACCCTCCCTCACTTCGCCTGATGCAGGCTGAGCTGACCCCACGGGTCCCCATGGTTTGCGGGCACATCACAGTAAGGGAGCTGGGCTACACCAACCCATTGGTTCCCCGACTGCCGGCCAGAGCAGCCTGGGGAGGCCTGGAAGTGGCTCTGAGCCCAGCCAGGGGCTCTGTGGGGCTGCCCCCTGTCCCACCCAGCCAGCCCCACTCACTCGGAGCCCGACGAGTCCTCATCCACTGTGCCCGCCTTGATACTCATGGCGATGGGCATGACCCCATTCAGCTGCTCCTGGAGACTCTGCCGGGGAGGAGGGCGGGGAGGGGGCCCGCCCCGGCTGCCCTCGCTGGCTGAGGAGCCCCTAGAAGACCCTGTGCCTTGCTCCAGGGGTAGCCGTAAAAGGCTGCTCTTCTCACTGATGGTGGGCAGACACTTCTTCTTGAGGATGCCTGTGGGCCGGGGTGGGGGGGCAGGTGCCATGAGGAGCAGGCGGTGGGTCAAGGAGCTACCCTAGAGAGCCCTACCAGCCACAAGGCGAATGTGAAGTGGGAGGCTGCCAAACGGGGGACCATGGCAGCCGGGCATGCCCCACTCACCTTTGTGAGGTTGGGCAGAGGGGCCTGGAAGGGGGCCAAGGGACCCCTCCCGAGGCAGGGCATCTCCATTCTCCCACGGGCGCTCCTCAGAGGCCCCATTGCCACTACTCTCCTTTGCTGTGGTCCCAAAGTCTCCT